TTGGTATTGTAATGTATTTTGGTTGGTTAACTAAATTGCCAGTAAAATATATTTAGTGCTTTGTAAGGCATGAAATCAATATGCCGTTTTTAAAAACACAGGGCTATTGTCAGGAGAGGAAGTGAACCTACGATTTGTTTAAAGCCTCAAATACAATTGAGCCAGAAAAGCACGAGTTGCCTGCACTGTCTGTCTGAAAGGAACTCATTGAGAGAAAGAAGGCTGAGAAACCTGAGCAGATTACTTAAGGAAATGAAATGTGACTTAACCAGAAAACACAGGAGACTTCTAAGTCATGGTGCACAAAACCTTTAAATGAGGAAAGATAATCTGATAGCCATTGCCATCTATTTGCATTGGACAAATTGTCCATTTCCTCTTAAATTAGACAAACTTATTTTTTTAAGCCCTAAAATGGTGATAGCAATTGAGAAGTCAGTCTAAGCTTCCTTTCACTCCCGGAAGTTCATTTATATTACCAGAGTTAAAAAACACAGTGATGTCCTAATGTACGTATCAAACAAGGACAAAAATTGGAAATGATGGGAGACACCAGAAACACAAAATGTAAGGCAACCTTAAGGTTTGTAGGCTAAGTGTGTTAAAGATCAAGCCTTGAAGAAATACGCGGCAGTGATCATTTATTTTAAAAAAGATGAATGGATCATTATTTACTTGTGAGATCTTAATTCTAATTTGAACAGTGCGGGTGGTGTTTTTCTAGTTTTAGGAAGGTTGTTTTTGATCTGCCAGGCCAGTGGAGAGTACATCAGCCAATGGAAAACATCGTCTAGCAGTCTATCGTATAAATTAGAAGAACAGATGAAATTAAAGAAAAGTTGTGAGCTCTGTGGCTTCTGTAGACAGATTATTGACAGGCGTTAAGCTTTCAGTATCAACCAGAGGCTTTTGTGGCAATGGTTTTGTTCCTGGTTTGACCACAAAAAGCTATTTTTGCAAATGGGCTGAAAATGTGATGAGAACGAATGCTTAGAAGACTACAAAGAATGGAAATTCAGAACTGAAATATATGTGTTTAATGTTCGGTTAGGATTTCAATATTTAATATCAGTGTGCTTCTCATAGCAAGATTACTAGTTTGTCGCTTTTATGAAACTCTTTCAAATCAGCTATGAGGCACTTCAGTATGTTTCAGTTTGACTTGACTAACAGAGAGAGAGCAGTACTAGGTTGCCGGAAAGCCGTGTGCTAGGACTGTCTAACTTTGAAATGGAGTGACAACCATGGCTGCTATAAATCAGCACCAGGACCTCGCAGGGGCAGCAGTTGCTTTGTTCTTTGATGCCCTGGTTTAGGGAAACATTGGGAGCCACATTAGCCTGTACATGTCATTTAATCCCTCACAAGCCATTTCGTGGTGCCGTAACTGAAGGCACGTATTTGAGCCCACTCACAGAAAACAAAAACAATTTGCGTGGTTGTTTGCGTTTTTCTCAGTTTCGTTTGTGCGCGGACCAACTTTTCCATTTGTCTTTTTAGTTTCTAATGACCTGTCCTCTCTGTCTTTGAACCGGCACCCTCTTTGCACACAGTTCAGAAGCAATTCTTTCTTCACTTATAATCTGCTACCTCCTGTCTCCCCTGCAAAGCTTACCCAGACTACTGGTAATCTGATAACCAAAACAGGTGGTTGTAATATAATAGTAACTTAAAATTGGCGCTAGGAACCACTGTATTGGACAACCCTCTGTCAAGACAGATGAAAGAAGCCTGCAAGCTTTTGTTCTGTTTTCCAAGTCTTAGCTTTGCCTTACCCCTATGGCCAGTCAGGCATTGTTCTAAAAGGGAGAATGCAACTGAAAGAACAGGGTGAAAGATTGGTTAACAGTGATTTCTAGAGAAATTCAACATCCGATTTAAAAAAAAACATCTATGTATGTTTTCTTAGTGTCTCAGACCAAATAAAAATAACTTTGTTGGAAGGAGGGTGTAGAATGAATTTTCTGTGTCTTCACACACTGAATCATCTTGAGCTAGTCTTGAGAAGGGCAGGCTCTTTCAATTGCCAGAAACTGCCGGTTGAGCATTTTACCCTCTCTGCCATTGACTTTGCTTCTTGTTATTAAGCCTTTTGTTCCCAGTTGTGATCTCCTGCAAAAAAGAATAGTCCCAGAAGACAGCTCCTGACTTTTGTCAATTTTATAAGATAAAAAAACAACAGTAAATATGAACACTTTAGCTATGATACTATTGTGAACGCAGTAGTATAGGCAAATATGACACTTACATATGAGATTTTTCTTCTGTTTCAAGAGCCCTCCAGTGGTAAGCCCTGCACAAAAGTTGGAGTTTTCTAAAAGTTTACTGAATTACTTTCAGTCAGATATGTCCATAGGACTAAAGCAGAAAGACACCCCCCCAAGTCATACTGGGCAAATGTATTAAATGCTTAAAATAGGGTATACTGTATATTCAATGTGTACTGTTCTGTATTTCTTATTTAATTTTTGGCAACACTAAAAAAGCATATTTCATTTCATGTTTTATTTAAAAAAAACTTTAAAATGAGAGTATACGGTATGTGTTATTAAAACTGCTTCACTTAATGAACACTGGGAAGATATCAGTGTAAATAATACATATTCAGACACATTTTGTAATGTTATTTTTAATGTGTTGAGAAATTAGCTTTTTTCGACACTGTAAACAGACTTATTGGTTTATGTTTTATGAAGAAGGAGTGGCCTTGTACCACGGAGGTCTGAAAAAGATGTTGAAGAAAATTGATACATTACACATTATGAATTAGAGGACAGTTCTTCGAGTCAACACATACAAGAGCATTGATATTTCATTGCTTCTAAATTCAGTTCCACTTGAGGAGGCATTAGTTTGTCAGAGCACTTCAATCTTGTTTTTAAATTAAATAAAGGTTTCGTACATGCTGCTGTCTCACAATGGATTGTCTTCAGTCCTTGTGCCAAAGCAGTTATTGTTACTGTTTATTTTCCCCTTAAGTACTAAAGTAGACATTTACTACCTCCATGACTATGTATGATTTTGATAGCGCTCTCAATTGAAAGCTTTTCAGGCCAGGGATCTGGATTGCTATGCCCTTTTACTGTAAGTCTAGCCAAGCCTAAAAGCAATGTAACTAATTATAAATTGCTTTAGAGACAGAATACCAGGCTTGCTGGCTTAAATGCCTTAGCAATTTAAAAAGAGAAAGATTTAAATAGATATACTGTGTTAGTATAACCCTTGGTTGGCTTTAATTGTGTCCCAGAACACAAACTTGAAGGAGCTCCAAGTCTCGGCAGAAGCATGTTCAAACACACAACGTCCTCATTAACTCTGGACAACAGCTTCCTGGAGGGTCTAGAACTGACACAAGATAAACACAGGGAGGAACAACGATTTCCTCTGTGGCAGCGTCTGCCTTCAGTGAGAACACAACAGTGCCCGGGTTAGGGGACTTGGCAGGGCTGTCAGCAGCTCCATGGAGGCGAACGGCTTGGGTGGTTAGAGAGATGTGCTCTGGACCAGGGCCAGGTGCGCACTGCTGTGATTTGTGCTTCCTTTTTACCAGCTGAGAAAGGGACCTTTCAGAACTGCCTAATGATAAGCAGCGTGAGTAGCTGTGTGAGACGCTGGTGTTTGGGTGAAAGGCCTGGTCCCGCACAGCCCTTCGGCACCTGCCCCAAGACGTTGAATGCATAGTTTATTTAACCCCTTTTTTCGCTAGGTAATCACGTTGAGATTAAAAGCTCTGTCACTAATGAGATATAGCTGGTAGCACTGGAGAGGAAGTTAAAAAAGTAGCTGAGGATGTGTGATCTCCTGGTGTGTCAAATCGGCTTAGATCAATTTCCCCCGCTTCAGTAGAAACCTCTGAAGTTGACAGCCTCCTAGACATATTTCAAAGTGAAGGTCCGGCTCTCGTCTAGTACAGTCTAAATTAATCGTCCAGTTAATCTTAGTGAACTAGACAGGACAACTATAAATCCCATACCAACAGAACCTATTTATCCAAAATGGTTAATGATTTGAACAAAACAGATTTTTACTTTCAGAATTGATTCTTCAAGTTTCAAGCCTTATTAAGCATTTGGGTTGATTTTGTATTAGAATACTTTAATGTTCGGTTCTCTGATTTTAGAAGAGGTGCTCCTTTGGAACTAACATAAAGCTGCCAATTATGGAATGATGCTCTATTGTTTATAATAGAATATAATATATTCTATATTATATATATTATAATATTATAATATTTTAATAAAATAATGTTCTATTGTTAGAATAGATTTTAAGTGGTAATTTTGTTAAACTGTGCTAACCTTTGTAGAGAAGAGCAGATAGGCTTCTTCACCCAGCAAGCCATTGATCTTTAGAAACGTTACAAGCTCTGGAGTGATACAGAGGAGTTTCAGCACCCAATGGTAGACAGAAGTGCCCCTTAATGACCACCTCAAGCCTGCAGGTCCCTGGGAAGTCAGGGGGGTCACTGTTTTTCTGGGAGTCCTGTCTGAATACATTGAACTCTTGCACCACTGCTTGGGAAGTCCCAGTTACACCTGGCTAATGACATCATCTAGGATCTGATATAGGATTTCTAGATGTTCTTACTCCTAGGAATCTGTTTAGACTGTGAAAATGAAAGAAAATGAATGTTTCTGTAGAATATTTAGTAAATCAAATGATCAAGGAGAGGGTCATTCCACTGAAAAGAACAAAAAAATGTTTTGGCTATGGAAAATTCTTTAGGTGTGTGTGGAAATGTTTTGGATGTCAGGTGATGTCAAAGGTTAAATGATGCCTAATTTTTTAAGGTAATCACATTATACCAAGCAGGATTCATGGTTCGGTTGTGTTTACAAGGAAACCATATCGACGTTGTTGCTTCTATGAGGTCTGTTTTTCTAGTGTTTCCCAAAGCATGCTGGTATCTGATTAGACAATACAAGTAGACACGAAAGAATGACTTTGTTTGCAACAGTTGAGAACTTGTTTTGTTGCGTTCCTGTCTGGTTTTCTGGCAGAGCCCTCGCTGTACTTTGGAGACCCGGAGTACCTGGTGGATGAAAGCTCTGGTTACGTAGAGGTGCGTGTCTGGAGAACAGGAACCGACCTGTCAAAGACAGCCACTGTCACAGTACGGTCCAGGAAGACAGAGCCCGTCTCTGCTGAAGGTAGGCAGCCTGTTTTGAATCCTTAGAGGTGTGCGAGTCTCTGTCCTGTTTGTCAGAAAATGTTACCATGTTGTCTTCCCGGCAGCTGGTGTTGACTACGTGGGAATTAGTAGGAACCTGGATTTTGCCCCCGGAGTGACAATGCAGACATTCCGTGTCACCATTCTGGATGACCTGGGCCAGCCGGTGCTGGAGGGGCCGGAGAAGTTTGAGCTGGTCCTCCGCATGCCCATGAACGCCATACTGGGTGAACCTAGCAAGACCAACGTCATCATCAACGATTCTATCTCAGACTGTAAGTTTCCACTCTCCAAAACACAGGGCTCTGTCTTCAGAAGTTGTTTTTAGGGATGCTTTTCAATGAAAATCTACCTCGAGTTAATTCAGCTCTTTTAAAATGTTCCCGAACCATACATTTTATTAACTAATGTCTAGCGTGGATAATTTCAGTCTTAAATCACCTTTAAAAATACTTAGAGATTGAGTGAACTTTTCAAAATAATAAATGAATCAAGAGTATACATAATTCACAGTAGAGGTATGACTCTCCTATATGAATAAAAATAAGGAACTTCTTTGAACGTTTACTTAAAATAGGTCCTACTTTATTTTGTTTCAGTAAAAGTGCTATTAAAAGTTGAGAAAGAATTGAGATTAAAAGCTGTTTTTCCTCAAAGTGTCAGGGAAAAGATAAGAGACTAATTACAATCCTGTAAGCCTTTTTATGTCATCCAACATTAGTATATTTCAATCCGAATAACAACCCATAGAGCCATGGTGGACTGCTTGTTTCTTTCTTATTCCAGTGCCCAAGGTCCAGTTTAAGGAGCCCCTGTACATTGCTGATGAGGGAGATGGCCAAGTCAGTGCCATTGTGTACCGTAGTGGAGATATCAGTTACAAATCCACTGTGAGGTGCTACACTCGCCAGGGCTCTGCACAGGTCATGATGGACTACGATGAGCGACCCAACACTGACAGCTCTATCATCACCTTCCTGCCAGGTATCACTCGCAGGGCCGTGCAATTACATGATGATGATAATATGACACTGTGTCACACAAGGTTTGTGTAAAATCATACAGAAAATGCAGCGATGCTTCAGTTCAACTCAAAACTTAACAGTGAGAGCCGCAAGGGAATTATTGTTCTCCAAGTCCCTGGAGTAGGAGCTATGTCCTGTGACGTGCTGTTTTGTCAGGTGAAATTGAGAAGCCTTGTCTGGTGACCCTTGTGGATGATACCATACATGAGGAGGAGGAGGAGTTCCGACTGGTGCTGGGAACACCGAAAAGTGAATCACCATTTGGGGCGGCACTAGGAGAGCAGAAGGAAACTTTGGTCAAGATCACAGATGAAAAAGACAGTAAGTAAAGTAGGAAAATGTTTGAAGATTGAGCATTAGATTACAGTACCTGACCATCTACTGTAATAACCAAGCAGCAAGACATGATATGGCATTTTGAGTTGCATGGCCCTGACTATAATCCAATATACTTCACTGTAATGCTAATCCAGTGTTCAGAATTACCAACATATCTAGAAAGGCAGCTCTCCATGTTCCCAGGACTGATTGGTAAAAAAGGGGGAAAGGTAGTTACTGGTTTAACAAAATTGATTAAAGGTTCAGCTTTCTCCTCCATACCAGGTTTGGAATAGGACAGAGAATATACTTTACACAGCAACTGACAATAAATCAAATGTTTTAAATGCCAGCAGTTTACACAAAAGGGTGCTTTAATAATGCCTTATTTTAAACACATCTTCAAAAACAGTGTTTAAACAGAGTCACTGAATTACTCTGTGTGCCTCAGTTTTATACAGAAATTAAAAATAGGGGATGTTCTAACCTTCCTTGTGGTCATATTTCTGCAGAATCGATTATCAAATTTTCTGAGGTCAAATACAGTGTCAAAGAGCCACAGGTGCTGGGAGAGATAGCTGTGGTGAAGATCCCTGTGCTGCGCCTAGGGGACACCTCCAAGGTGTCTCTTGTGCGAATCCACACCAAGGATGGGTCTGCAACCTCAGGAGAGGACTACAACCCCCTGTCAGAAGGCAAGTGCTGCCCACAGAGCAGGGCCAGCAGTGATGAGATTTGAGCAGTAAGGGCACCTGGGATGCTTTCAGGCAGATTCAGGGGTGCAGTGTGCATTCAGGGGCTTCAATGCCTAACAGCGGTCTGAATAGTAGTGGCTATTTTACTGGAACTAGCATAAATATGCTATATTCTATAAAGTGACTTTATATAGAATAGATTTTCTATATTTATAATTTCTCAGCATATCATTTTTAGTTTGTACACTGACTATTTTCCCCTCTGCACACATAGTTTGTGTAATTCATTCAGTTTCTGAGTGCTGGAACAACAAATAATTGTATATTAATGTATTTTTACTGTTCAAATTAGATGACATGCTTCTTAAACTGAAGGCTGGCTCATAGATTTTAATTCTTCAGTTAGGTCTTTTAGTCTTACTGTTTACATTAAGTAGCAAGCCTTAGGCAAGTAAGACATCCTGTAACATTGTAACTGTTTCTGTGTATGTACTGTAGAGTTCGATTTACGGGAGATCTCACCATGTGTTCTCCCTCTTGTCTTGTAATCCCATCCAGATGTTGAGTTTAAGGAAGGAGAGACAGAGCACTTTGTGGAGGTAGAGATTCTTTATGATGGCGAGAGAGAGATGAGGGAAGCCTTCACAGTCCACATGAAGCCTGACGAGTACATGGTAGCTGAGATACAGGTAAGCGAGATGATAAAGCACTGCTTTTCCATTTCTCTCTATGTAAGAATAGAAATGCACTTTTGTATTGAGTGGTTTTGTATGCGTGATCAGACATGCATACTGCAACATTTGTATCATTTTGATTGATTTCTTTGGAAGCATACAAAATAATCAGTAGGCTATCACTTTTCAGACAGGCAGTATTTTGAGATGCATGGTTCTAACTATAATCCAATATATATCTTTGGATATATATATAGATATATATTATGGATTAAATTAGACTAAAATTGTCTGATAAGATTAGGCTCCAAACTCTAAATGCGTGTTGGACTTTTTCTGTTGAGGTTGAGGTTGAACCTTACAGATAAAGTAATTACCTCATGCTTTCAAAACAACGTTTACTGCTTAGGAAGAATTATTTGTGGCTTCTTTCTAAGGACCCTCATCACTTTGTCTAGGAAAGCACTGGGTACTGGTTCATTAGTTTCTTTCTAAAAAGCGTTTATATAAATCGGTTTGATGTACGAGCACGTTCATGTCAACAAATGCGATCTCCTCTAACAGACGAGCAAGGCCATCGTGTACATCGAGGAGATGGACAGCGTGGCAGACGTCACTTTCCCAGCAGTGCCCCAGGTCGTGTCACTGCTCATGTACGACGACACAGCACGAGCCAAAGACCAACCCAACCCTCCCACTGGCTATCCAGTTGTGTGTGTGACGGTGAGCACAGGATGGACCCCCTGGCCCTGTGGCCAATATGAAAGTGCCCAGACCTGCTGGATTTTAACACTTTATAAACAAGAACCTGTGCTATATTAGAATACTTTCATATCATATTTCTCACACATTTCTAGAGTTTGCCGTAGAATATGAGGGCCCTTAAAGGAAAACTTCAATGTGACTCATTTTGCTTATTGCATTTAGCAGAAAACTTGATTTTTTTTATTAAATTGTGGCTTAAGTCTGAATCCTGCTCCTGCTATTTAACAGTATTTACTGTATTTACAGTATAGTACAAAATCTGTATTTATTTTAGTCTTATATCTCAATCAGCAAGATTCACATTTTTGTATTTGCATTTTTATGGTACAACAAACTCTACTGGAAAATATGAAGAATAGCTTTTTTTGTTTGCTTACAAGTCTTTACCTGGTTACTGACTGTATGACCCCCTCTCTCGCAGGCCTGTAATCCCAAGTACTCTGACTTTGACAAGACGGGATCCATCTGCTCTGCTGAGAACATCAACGACACCCTGACGCACTATCGCTGGCTAGTGAGCGCGCCCAGCGGCTCCGACGGTGTCACCAGCCCCATGAGGGAGGTAGACTCCAACACCTTCTTCACCAGCACCAAGACTATCACGCTGGACGCTATCTACTTTCAGGCCGGCTCCAGGGTGCAGTGTGCAGCCAGGGCCTTCAACGCCAACGGAGACGCAGGCCTGGAGCTTCTCAGCCCAATTGTCGCCATCAGCCGGGAGGAGGGTGAGTACAGCTAAAGCCAGGCTCACTGCTCATTTATCGCTGGGAGAAAGAACTGCAGTTTATGAATGGAATTTACTCCTTGGCAACTCTTCGTAAGATGAAAATGTGCTTACGCGAAAATGAAATTCCCATCACCTTATGTGTTAAACCTTCATTCCCAATATTTAGAAAATTAGCCAGCCTTACTTGCTTTAAACTAACAGAGCCCTGGATAGTGAAAGTAAGAGCCCTGTTGCTTGTTTATGATGATTAATCTTATTTACCCCCTGTGCAGTACTTAATGTGATATAAAAGCTTTAATAAGATTTGTCAAATTTCTACAAATACAGAAGCATTGCTGAATTCTGTTGTCGGAGACCAGGATCTCATTTATCATTTAATTACGAAGGACACACCTTCGTTCTAGTGAAAATATCTTTGCAATTGCAGAAAACAGGTGTGAAAGTGCACAGTTCGTTATAGTGAAAACTGCTAATCTGGGCTATTTAGAAATCAAGGGATGAGTGTATTCGTTTGAGCTGCCTACCTGAAAAATGCTCACTTACTAAAAGCACAACAAAGCCTTTAAAAGAAATGTTTCAGGACAGGATGGAAGTAATATTGGTCTTTAACCAGTAATACTGTCTTTGTGTTTGACTTTCGAGCCATTTACAGCTACTGGACTGTGTTATGTCAGCACACAGTGCCTGCTTTCCTGGTTTTCCACAGCATAAGAGACTGTGTAACAAGTGTAATGATCAGAAATAATGTCAGGATAAGAACATTAATTCTTGGTAATAAAATGTGAATAACTCAGCTTTGATTCTTGGAAAATATGGCACAAAAACTATTAGCATGAAAATATTCTTAATGTAGTCCTGTGAAGGAATATTTTGGTGGATTTTTTAGAATGGTTTCCCATAAAAAGATGTCTTTCACTTTAATTTAAAATGAAATCCATCACTTATACAAAAAACAAAGAGGGGTTAGTAGAAGGCAAGTGTTTTGAGATTTTTATTTTTTGTCTGCTACAGGTCTCTGTCAGCCCCGTCTCCCAGGGACAGTTGGAGCAGAACCGTTCTCTGCCAAGATTCGCTACACTGGTCCAGATGACCCTGACTTCCCAAACCTCATCAAACTGACAGTCACCATGCCCCACATAGATGGTCTGTACTTTACTGTCGCTGTCACTGAAATGTACTCTACTGCTAATTTACTACTTTTAGTACTAATTTGCTACATAACTAGAACACAATGGAAGTCTTTCTCAGTTTTGCTTCTCAGATCATTTGAATGGTGTCTTCAGAATGTTGCTATTTTTGTAGTACAATCTCCTCTATATTTAATGTAATTTGTGCAATTTATCAGTCAAAACAAGCATCTGAAAGGTTTTCACCTTGAACTCTGAATTCATGAGGTTGTAAAGAACCAGAATGAAGACTTTTTTAATTGGTGTGCTCTGTCCTGTAAATGGAAGAGCAATGTTCAATTAATGATTTCTTTAATCACTGTCTCTGTCTTCGCTGTCTATCCTCATGCCATAAACAGAGACTTTTTCCTAATCTAAACTCATTTTGTGTTATCCTTCATGTGTAGCAATTAAAGTCATTTCGAACTTTGGAATTAACGTTTGAACAATGCTAGCTGTTGTTTGGCAGTGCGTTGTTGTGTTATTCAGCTGATACACCACAGTTCTGTTGTGTATCGAAACCGACAGTTGAACAAGCTGCATCCCTGTCTGACTGCAGGTATGTTACCAGTGGTCTCCACAAGACCCTTATCCAATTTCGAGCTGACCTTGAGCCCGGATGGCACCCGAGTCGGGAACCACAAGTGCTCCAATCTGCTGGATTTTAACGAGATTCAGACCCGGCATGGCTTCATCACGGACGGCACCAAGAACCCCGAAGTTATCGGGGAGACTTCGCCCTATCAGTACAGCACCACCCTGCGCTCTGCCAGCACCCTGCGCTTCTACCGCAATCTCAACCTGGAGGCCTGCCTGTGGGAGTTCAACAGCTACTACGACATGTCTGAGCTGCTGACCGACTGTGGGGGCAGCATTGGCACAGACGGCCAGGTACTGTCTGATTGCTAGATAGATACTTTATTGATCCCGTGAGGGAAATTGCAGTGCAACAGCAGCTTAACACACACAACACAGCCACAGCCAGTAATGAATTTTATAATAATAGTACAATACATACAATACAATACAATACAATACAATACAATACAAGAGTTACTCACAGTCCGGACACACAAGAACAAACTAGAACAGAAAGTTCTAGTTTGGGGGTGCTGAGGAGGATTATAGGGGTGACGACGGCAGTGTGCACTCACTCCACTGCTCTCGTCTCTTGCAGTCAGCACCTTCTCGCATACTGGGGCCTGTCCTTATAACCAGGTGGACACACAGCTCCCTTCCTGTGTCCCAGCCACATTAACAACGTCTTCACTAACAAATTCCATGAAAATGCTAATTGTATTGTAATGACCCCAAATCAAGCGTGGGGAAGTCTCTGTGTTCTTGTGATTTTATTATTTTTTTATTTTCTCATGAGTAAGGCTTTTTTAAAAAGTAAGGATGTATAATTTTTTGCCAAGAAAGTGTCTGGAGAAATATCTGCTCATTTATAAACACTGCGCCAGTTTGATTATTGGGAAATTTCCAATATTGGAAATATTGGACCTAAAGAGCTGATACCTCTTTAGGTCCTGTTTTCCTTCTTTCCATCTTCTTTTGCGCCTTGTGTTTTGAAATAGATGTCCAGGCCAAAGTAAATAGTCTTCTTGTCCAAACAGTGCAGCTCAAGCAATTAACAAAAACACTCAGCTACTGCCCAAGAGATAAGCTAGCTAACAGAAAATGTTTTTGTAATCGAACAGCTGAGAGTGATCATTCTAGGGACTGTGAAAGAAAAGTGAGTTCTTTTGTTGAAGCCCAATGTGCTTACGATGGGAATGAAAGAGCAAGTTTTTTTCTAGCCCTAAGCATCGACAATGCTGAGTTGCCTTTAAGCCTTGAGGTGAATGGACTCCGCTAGCAGACTGAACCTGCTATTACCCCTCAGCCTGCAGCACCACTTCTGTACCACGGTAAAGGGATACTCACTCTGAAGTCAAACAGGCTGCAACCTTAAACCTCCATGTGTCATTTAACAAAACATGCTGCATACCAAAGGACTGAAGTGGTAAAGAAATGAAGCACAACAGGACAGATTACGTTTCCTCAAAGAAGGCAGTACTGCTGTATGTGGCATTTGTATAAGTGATCTAAGCAGGATACTGTAGGTACTTTCTTACAAGGCTCTATTTTCGATGCTGCTCTGCTACTGTATCTAAAAAACATTTTTTCTACCAATATATTTACCCCAGTATTCCATAAATACACATTCAAACGTAGGTTGAGTATAATATGTGACATAGAATCATATGTAATATATTTACTTTTTATAAAAAGAGGGTAAATAGTTTTCTTTAGTGGATAAGGAGCTGTATCCAGAAATTAATAGTAGTGAGCTCTTTTATACAGATATTACATTAACCACATATAGCATAACCGTTGGAACGATGGTGAGTGAATCGACATGAGAGCCCCAGAGCGGTATATTTTGGGATTTTCTTTGGGTTTAAAATGTCTTGATTCAGTGCTGTTGGTCCCTCCCTGGGGTAGCAGTGGGGCCCGGTGCTGTGTTGAGGCTCAGGCTGCGTCTCCGGTGTGTCCCGGCAGGTGCTGAACCTGGTGCAGTCCTACGTCACGCTGAGGGTGCCGCTCCACGTCTCCTACGTGTTTCACTCTCCCGTGGCTGTCGGCGGCTGGCAGCACTTCGACCTGCAGTCCGAGCTGCGCCTCACCTTCGTGTACGACACTGCCATCTTGTGGAAAGACGGCATCGGCAGCCCCCCTGAAGCTGAGCTGCAAGGTGCTTCGACTCTCTTCTGTATCCGACGGCCACATTAAAACCTTTATTATCAGTCTTTCACTCATAACCCTTCATGGATTTGTTGATTTTTGGGGAATTTTCTTTGATTTATTCATGCTGAAATTAACCCTTGTCAGTTGAGAATGGAAAGGATTATACTGTGTGATATTTAGTTTGTGACAATGCATACGACAAATGACACTGGATTCAATGTACATTTTTAAGAATTCTTGATATACTTCATGTATTTTGTAGCGATAAACAAATGTTAAAACCAACCACTGTCTGTAAAGAGCATTGTGCGTTTTTGCTCCGATACCGTTTTAAATTTCCGTTTTAAACTGTCTTCTCCCAGGGGCCATGTACCCAACCAGCATGAGAATCAATGAAGAAGGCCGGCTGGTGGTGAACTTCAAGACGGAAGCTCGTTTCCGAGGACTCTTCGTTATGTCTCACCAAGGTATAGGATCCAGCCCACAACGAAAAGCAGGAGGCTGATTTAAAGCCATATAAGGAAGTCAATACTTCTTTGTCAAATCTTGCCTCATTGTCACTTGGTCCGTGTTCAGGACAGCGTCGTGTCTTGTCTAAAGTGTTCTCTGTGTGTTCTCTTTTCCACAGGTACGTCTCTGACATCGATGGTGATGTCGGTCAATCACCCTGGCCTCACCTTCACACTCTCTCTCCTGAGGACCGAGCCTACCTACAACCAGCCAGTTCAGCAGTGGAGCTACGTCTCGGATTTTGCTGTGAGTCTGCTTTTGGCACTCGAAATTCTTGTGAACGAGTTAGATACAAGTGTGTGCTTTTATATTTTCAATTCCAGCAGAGCTGGAATTACATATCTGTAAGTTGAACAGTGCTGTTCTCCTCTTACTTTATTAAAATAGCAAATTACCTTTCAAACACCTCTTTATAAAATTGAATCTTGTTTTTTATGTAGGTTCGAGACTATTCCGGCACCTACACAGTGAAGCTCATTCCTTGCAGTGCATCTCCTAACTCAGAGTACAATATTCCTCCCATCTGTAACCCTCGTGAGCCCCTCACCTTCGACATGGACATCAGGTTCCAGCAGGTAAGAAGCTTCACACATGGCTGTTCTAGGTATTTCCCTTCAGCTTATAACCAGTGTTTCCTTTAACTAACAAATTTGATTTGATTTATGCATTGATACTCTTAATTTAAAGGGGAACTGCAAAGCTAACTTCATATTTTGGGGTTAGAATCTGAGCTGATGAGTGAATTTCAAACTGCAATTAAAGTCAAATGTACACAGTAACTTGTAAAATCTCCTATTTACATCACAAAACTGACAATATTTCCAGGTATGCACAGTACCATATTGCTGTCATTGTCTGCAATTCATAATGAAGCAACAAAATGTCTTGTGATGTTTGCGGCCCTATGACATTGTAAACAGGCAGGCTTGTGAATACATCATCTTTAATCCAGTAGAAATATTGCTTTCCGTTTTGAGACAGTTTTGCCCACAAATACTGCTTACTTGTGAAATGTCTGCTGTACAACCTGAGTTTATTCACTCGAACATCTCATTACACTAGTCATTATGGTGACTAGTGAGCAGGAAGGGCCACATCACTATACAATTCGTGGGAACTTGTAAGTTTGTACATTTTATATGTAAGTTTACGACATCATGGTGACTTACAGTACTTTCACAAATTTCACTATTGTGTGCTTAATTCAAAATTTGTCATTTTCTTCTAGAATGTCAATGAATTTTTTTGCAGAGCTTTAATAACCGGTCTGAGAAATCAGGACTACAGTTCCCCTTTAAAGCAATTCTTTTACAGTTCTAATTGTTGCACAGTTTAGCAAAGACATTCTTCTCATGTGTTGAAAATGCAGGAGCAAAATAAGAAATAACAAAATAAAATACAGGTTTTTGGCCTGGAGCAAGCTTTGCTGCAAATTGTATTTGTGAAAAGTTGAAAGACACAAATCTGGAAAGAGATGAGACAGGTCTGAAAGAAAGTCAGACTAATATTTTCTCAAACATTTAGTTGGAGCTTATTTGGAGGCTGATGTGGAACCTTTTGAAAGATGAACTGACAGTGGTTTTAAACCTCTTACCATATTTAACAATGTCTAGAAGAGCAGTAGTTTTCAATGAAGATGCAAAGATGGTGGTATTGAAAGGATTAATTATTGAAAATGTAATCAAATACACATCAGAGCTAATATTTTCATCATTATGTTGTATCCTGCTTTTTGGGTTTGTAACTACATTAGTCACACCGAATAGATGTGTGTACAGTTTCTCTGTTTGCGTTATTCCACCTCCCTCCCTGCCTTGTATGTGGAGTGTGATGAGCTCTCTCTGCCTCTCAGGTCAGTGACCCTGTGGCTGCTGAGTTCAGTCTCAACACCCAGATGTTCCTGCTTTCCAAGAGGGAGCTGTGGCTTTCTGATGGGTCCATGGGATTCGGAGAGGGGACTGATGTCGCCTTCTCTGAAGGTACAGGAGAGGGGAAAAAAAACACACAATGCTACCCTTTGGTGGCAAGGGTGGGCCGATAGAAAAGCCCACTTGTTAAAATTCACTTCTAATTAGAGCGGCTGGGAGTTTGAAGCTTTTGCCTATAGAAATAGTAGTAAAATAGATCAGATATTTATCGTTGTTCAAGAAGAGCAGAAAAAAATGAAAAATACAAATTCCAGTTTCTTCCAAGACGGTAAATACATGCACCATTGTAAAAATAAGGACCATCTCTGTAGTTCAGATCTATACATAGGATACTCTAAAAAAGGAAACCCATTATAATTTTAGCATGGTTTAAAGCACAACTATTTCAAAGTTTAACCTCAGTCCAGATCATCTCTCGTCCTGAGCGCTGTTTTCCAGTATGATCAAGAACTCTGGACCTGTGTGTGGAAACCGGTTCTTACCAGGGCTGTCCTTTTAGTGGTGAAGAGACTAGGCGGCAGTCAATTTCCAATTAAAATCAATGCCTGGGAAAATGGATCATTAATAATTGATTATTAATATCAAATGCAATAAATAATGTAATTATTGCAGTATTAAAAAGCAGTTTGAGGCAAGAGAAGTACAGCAGTATACTGCAGCCCCTAGAATACACTTTTCCCAGTGTCTCCCCCTTGTGGCCATGTATAAATACAACTGTGAAAAACAGGCCTGCAGATTCAGGAAACACGGCTTGCAGCACAATCATCAAGATAAATTACTTCTTGGGAGCAGCATAATCAAGGAGCAAATACAGAGGTCAGCTCTATTGATGTTTCTCTTCTCTTCTGTCAGGTTCTTTGATTTATGGCCGTGTTATGGTGGATCCTGTGCAGAACCTTGGAGACTCGTTTATCTGCAACATTGAGAAGGTGTTCCTGTGCACAGGAGCTGATGGATATGTTCCCAAGTATAACCCAGCAAACAGGGAGTACGGCTGCCTCGCTGATGCCCCCTCTCTGCTGTACAGGTTCAAGATACTGGTAGGTGAACTAGCCACTCTGGATTGAAACCAACTGTAACCTATTACATTGATTCAGGTGGGTAGTTGTGTCAGCATGCGTAGGCTGCAAAGGAACAAGTAATAGGTTTATTCTATGCTGGAAAAAAAGAAAAGAGAAAACATTTCGGCCGTGGAGCCTTCAGCACACCTGATGAAGGCTCCAAGGCCAAAACGTTGTTTTCTCTTTTCTTTTTTTCAGCATGGAATAAACCTATTACTTGTTCCTTTTTACATTGATTGATGAGCTGTAGGTCAGTTCCCTCGGTTCAGGACAGTGAAAGTTGTACTCTTCAGTGCACCATAATATGTGACTTGGAGTCAAAGGTTATAATGTTTCTAACATCCCTATGAAAGATTGGCATTAGACACCGAGGTTCAGGTGTTTTGCTCTGTTAGTGTTAGACATGCCTTTGTGCCAGAGAAAATGTCTGGCTGCTCTAAGGTAAACTAAAGTTGAAGTGGAATTATTACCAATTAGAACATGGAAAGCAAGCAGTCTAGTGGTTTTTACAAATAACTACAACAAAATGACAGGTGACAGAAACGGTTCTAGAAACATACACCGTATGGCACTGCTTGAATTAATGTTTTACAAAAATACTATTTTAAAGAAAGAATTTTGTTTAGTCGTATACCCACCAGCGAAGGAGAGATTGTGTGTGTTTTCCACCTTTGTGGCGAATCCGGCCGATGCACATCTTCACCCCATTCTACTGAGAGGAGAACACCTTTCCTCCGTTATTGATGATGATGTCTGTCAGCTTGATCTCTGCCGGGGTTCATCCCAACCGTGATCAGAGCAGGGTTTGTCTGTGGGATTGCTGTGAGTCTCCTGAGTCTGGAAGTCGTTTCCCCAGGATAAAGCCCAGCCAGAGACACAGGCCACGGTGTTCGGGAGCGTGCAGTTCGACGCCAGGCTGGCTGCAGACACGCCGGGAGCTCTGCCGCTGGTGAGGCAGCCGGGCTCGGACGGATTCGCCCTGTCGTCCACACCCCTCTTCCAGGTGAGGAGCCGCTGGATCAGCCTTGCTGTGCTCCCAGAGCCAGTGAAGCTCTAGAAAAAGTTTTTGTCATCCTTTCACACGCAAGACTTTTCCATTTGAAGTTGGCGTTATTTCTTCTGAACCGGATCTCCTACCAGTTCCCAGCTCCAGCTCACGAAACTAAACCGCACTAAATTCCCCAGTCACAGGTTCCAGCTTTTGTCACACAACCACTCCCACAACATCAGGTGGCATAAAATGAAAGAATAGTGTCAAAAAACCAGAGAGACAAGCCGAGGATAACTTAGCTGACTTACTCCATTCCACTCCTAGTAGCAGCTTAGCCAGTTGTGCAACGTGTTGCCATTTTTGGTGAATCCATCACAATCAGCTCATGACATAACTCCTCAGACTGGTGATGTGTGAACTACAGAGCCCAGCCTATGCTCAGAAAGATCCAACTGGTTAAGCCAACTGCCCTAAATTTTAACATTTCATAAGCTTCATTTCATACATTTTATACCTATATATTTGAGATATCTCCAAAGAAAATGAACATGTGAAAGCAAATTCATTTTTGACATCAGAAATGTGGTTACATTTTTAACAAAGCCCTTCTTCCTTCCTGGGCACCAGCAAGAAGCAAAACAACATCAGCTTCTGCGCTTGATATCGTAAATGAACAACAAACAGAATGAAAGTGCTCCGAATGTCTAATTCAAATGTAAACCACAAAAATTCAGCCTCCACCCTTCCAACAACAGCCGTTGACAGCTCTTACCACAGAGGTCACATGTTCTTTTTGCCACCCTAGGTCACAGCAGGGCGGGAGTGGTACATCCACACCATCTACACAGTCCGCTCCAGAGAGAACGCCAACCGAGGCATTGGCAAGAGGAGCCTGGAGTATCACCACGGTCTGTCTGCAGCTGCTGTAGCCCCCAGAGCTGTGGGGCGCAGCCGCCGAGCGGCCCCAGAGGTGGCTCAGGACATAGGCCTGGAGAACAGCAGGGGCACCAACATCCAGCACATTGCTCTGGACCGCAGGAACAAGATGGTGGTCAGCCAGCGCGAGTCCTGGCCCCAGGGCGAACTCCTGGAGCAGCCTGCGCTGGAGAGTTTTGGCCAGGAGTCCTCAGAGCTGCCCATGATGCCCATAGTGACCGGGGTGGCTGGCCTCCTTCTCCTGCTGTGTATCGTCACCATCGTCGTGGTCCTAATGCTACGACGCAAGAAGCGCCACTCTGGGAAGAAACTGCCCCCCTACTCCACCTCCTCTTGCTCGGCCTACCAGAGCAGCAGGAGCAGCCGCGACACCGTGAACACAAGGCACAGCACCGACAGCTCCGAGGTCTAACCTGGGAGGAGACCCAGCCATCTTTTCACCCTGTGGTGCTGGACATTTCTGACAGTTGGCAAAAATAGCGACAAAAACACCTCAGTGCCTTGATTTTTTTTCCCCACAGCTCCCGCTTGCTCTGAAAAAAGTGAAGAGCACTCCAAACAGCAGTTGAAAATATTGTAATTTGTAACTGAAAGGGAAGCAAAAATAATTGTGTGGGTGCATGAGTGCTCTTCAGCTTGCCTTTTCACCGTGAGAGCACTGTAAGGCATGCTGAACCTCATGAAGTGTTTATTTCCTTCACCTACACGTTGGACGTTAGAATGGGCTGGGATCCCCTGTAATCGATGACAAGAGTGACATAATTTTGGCTTTTATTTACGTTGAGCTCTAATTTACATTATTGTGAAACCGCGCCGGTTATTATTGTTCTGATGCTTCTGATGCCACGTTTCTGAGTAGAGGCGCAGACCGAGGAGAATGTGGTGTAAGGAAAGGGCCATACACGTCGGGATGACAGGTTATTTATTCCAGAGCTCCATATCTAGCATTCTATCCACCTACCTCCCCACCTCCCACTGTCTAGGCTTTCTAATCAAGTCACCCTCACGCAAATCAGTGTTACTCCAGCCCTTCCCGTCAGCTCCATTTCAATATTGAGATACTTTTAACTCCTTAATGGCTGTATTGATCCTTACTAGTTATCAGTTACATAAAGGAGCTGGTGGTGGCAAAAAATGTAATGGAGCAGACTGGAGGAGCCACAGTTGTATAACCCTGATGAGGAGGATATTTAAAGCCGATTACAGATATTAAAGTGTTTGTCAAGTTCTATGAGTTTTTAAGACATGGCCTGAGTTGCAAGCAAAAATTCTATAGACGCTGTAATTTACCTGCATGTCAATAGAGACAAAGGTAACGACGACATTTAGTGGTTCTAAAAAAGGAACAAAACACTACTGGACACGTACAGCTATTACTTTTTTTTACAGTTAGAAATTTGATTTTTTTTTTTAGTAGTCAAATAGGTTTTCTTGATGTTTTCTATTTGAATCAATACACGTTGAGTAAAACTGTCAGAGCACAGGCTACATCATACTGTTTTTCAGGTTCATTTTGCAATTGTTGGCATGAACTGTACAGGTGAATTCTGAGCATTTCTGAGGGAGAGTAAAATGTTTTATGTTGCATATCTAATAAATGTCTTTTTATATACGGTTTAGTTTTGAACAGACTTGTGCCTGCCCGCTTCAACAGAACCGTAAATGAGGTGCTAAACAAAAGGAATTGTAATTAGTCACATTTTTATTCACTTGAGTTACTTGTACAGTTTTTTTTCACCTTTTTATAGTCTTTCGGGAATTGTATGGTTGAAATCATACAATGTGCAGCTGTATGATTGTGGTTAAAAATCTAAGTGAGCATATATAAAATAGCTGAATGAGAAAGCACAAATGAAATAAGTATTAGTAACACGCTATGATAATACTTGAACAATTGAAAAAGAGATGTGAAATGCATTTTGTGATGTTCTCATTCAACAACTTTAGTAAATGGTATTAGAAGAAAAATGTTGTGTGACTAATACATTTTTATCTCATACTGCCAGTGTCCTAAGTAACATTAAAAAACACTGATCACTGGCATCAAGTACTAAGAAGAAATGTAATGTTTAAAAAATACTGTAAAGGTTTAAAATGATTTGTGAACATTTTGAACAATACACTGTAGTGTTAAACTCATTTGCTGTCTAAAATAATATCATGCATTCTCCTGCTTATGTTTACTCCCAGACCCTAACAGAGCTGGGTGGGCCTGCCTGCCAGTTTAACAAACACCGGCCTACTCAACCCTGTAGCAGGCAGGAACACTGGCTTGGTATTAAACGTATAATACTGTTAATGATAGGCTAGGTTAGTGAATTCTAAGATACTTCTTACATTACTTTTCTCGTTTCATTTCTGAAGGGTCCTTAAGTGCTTCACATACAGGAGGGGACTGTATGTGGGTGATGCACACCCAGCTACCCCACTACACAGCAGATCAGGTAGATGACAGAACTGGCCCTCTGAAGGAATTAAAGGGGAAATCTGGGAAGGCCACACTATGAAGACCCAAACAGATTTAGCCAAGACAACCTGGCCTATGGGATCTTTAAATACCAAGTAGTCTCATACAAAGGACTACATCACCTCCAATATAGTGTACATGGTCAGCATTCTGGAGCAGAGGCAAGACTGACACCTACTGGTGCAGCAACACCTCTTTCAATAACACAACAGGGCCTTGACAGTCATGTGGGTCCAGTGCAGAGAACCATTGCAAATAGCCAAATGCACATATCACCAAGACCACTCCTATACTGTTGCATAATGTACCCCAGTATATAGTATGCATGGTTAAAGACATAAATGAACCTCACTTATATGATCATTAAAGTACTAATGCATCGGCTTTAAGTACATTAAAAAAATGCTGATCAAATAAACTACAGTAATCGCAAACCTACAGTAATCTGCTTAAATATACAATCTCCCCTCTGCATCCAGCCTGCAGGGGCAGGGAGAGGTTCACTCTTGAGCTAGATTCGCCTCATGATCCCAGTCTGTTGTGCTAATCTACTGCTCTTCTTCCATCCAAAACCCTGTAAATCAGACTGAAACATGTAGACTCGCTTATTTATATTAAATTTGCACATGTTGAGACCCTACTGTACGTCATTTTTACAGAGCCAGATAAGATTTTTCAAAAGGGTTTCTAATGCATCACTCCATTCTAACCTCAGTAGCCCTGTCAGTGATCAGTCTCCTTACACTCAACACAAGAAAGGTTACAAAAACAACAATGCCATTTAGCCCATCTAGGCTGTTTGGTACAACACGGGGGTGGACTATAATCCCACCTGCAGTAGCTGAACAACCAGCAATGTCCACTAGAGGGCTCCACCTTCACCCTGAACAAGCACCTCCACTAATGTACAGTAGGTGCACAGAATTCCTCCTTGGTGTTGGTTTATGCCAAGAAAAAGCTGATGATCACTGACCCGATCACAAGTTTTGTCACTTTTGTAAGGGAACAGACATTTTAATAACCTCAACCCAATTTATAAACCAGTATTCAATTCAGTTAGAAGGGTGCCTACTTTGTGTCTGGAGCGACATGACTTATAAAATACTTTCCATTAGTAAACTACTCAATGGATAAGAACTATTAATATTTACATTAAAATGAACCCTTTTAGGCTTGTACAACAAAGAAACATGAGCAATGAAACTGAACAAGCCAAGGTAAATTTAAACTGCTTCGGTCTGTGAAATGCACTACACGCCCGTCCTTATTTTCTATACAGCCAACAGGCCTTCTGAGCATTGCAAATGTAAAAAGGGCACCAGTTCAAAAGAAAATGTTTGCCATTTAGTTTCAGTAACATCATAATCCCTAGCTCATTCTAACATTTCAGAATTTAATAAACACAAAGGCATAAATAACAAAAGTATTTTATTACTTCAAGTGTTAATGGTAAAAAAAACAAAGGTTCAGCACAGCTGCAGCATTTAATCACTAGAAGTCAGACTTGTATTGAGTACTATGCTCCTAGTACAGTACACAGATGAAGTAATTTAATTGCTTGAGTTTATACAGTACATCATTACGACCCGTAAAATAAAAACAGACAACACTACTACTTCACCTTAGTCCAAACTTAACTGAATTTCAAAAATCCTCTTCACAGCTTTAATTTCTTTTTTCTTCCTCGTCCGTCTGGGGTCCCATCTGCTTTGCGTTTCTGGGCCTGAGGAAGAGAACAAGTCATTTTAGAAACAAATTTAGCCTTGCTGGCAAGGTATAGAACTTTTTTTAATCCAGTAGGCTCTACACATTAAAAGTTTAAAAATGGTCACACAGTAGTATCTGGTATTTTACCTCCCCAAGCGGCTCATTGTGACTGTTTCTAGAGCTGCATAATAGGTGACAGGCGTCAAATATTTTTGAAAAATAATATATACATACACACTGGACATTATAAGAAACATCTCTATTTAAAACCCTCAAGATTTATTTATCCACTCAGTGAAAAAGGAACAAATTTAAAAACTAGTCTTTCTTAAAAAGATGCTAAAAATGTTACACTCTAATCTAAATAGCTTCACACAGAATACAGTCACAGATTATGAAGCACAGAAAACATGAGGATCATGCTTATTCAAAACACTGTTTTTAGTACACAGGGTCCCAATTATATAAAAGGCCCCAATATACATTTCCCCACAGTAACACTGAGACATTGGGGATGAAATGTATAAATTTCAATACATGGTTTTCTACGTGGTCAATAATATAATCTTTAGCCGCTGCATATTAAATCACCAGACAAGTGAAAGAAAGAACTGGCATAGGTGATGAGATGATGCTACCTGCTGAATGCCAAAATGGGTGAAAAACAGCTAATAAAATAGCACATATGGCACACTTATCATGAGCACAACTGTGTTCTTTGACTTCAACTTCATGTTGGAGGCTGTACTTTAAATCACCACACAGTTGCTTGCTGTCTGGGGTGTTCACAACCAGCTATTTCTAACCTGGTAAAATCTGTTAATGCAGTCCATCAGTGACAGCTATGATTAGGGAGACCACAAGACATGACAAAATTAATGGGAGGGCCCAAATCTCTTGTAACTGATGGTATGTAACCAATGGTAACGCGATGACAAAGTCCTGAGGTCTTACTCTGATGTGACGACATTCTAGCAAGACAATGCATGTCCTCATGCTGTTCACGCAACAGTTTTATTTTTGCAAAATTAGGAATGCTATGGATGCCTTGCACCAAGACCTGAGCACCACTGAATATTCATGGGATGGCATGTGGCATTTGGGACTCGGAAACCAGTGAACGGGCACATCACTTGTCTGAGCTCTTAAAGGAGAATGGGACAATTTCATAAAAGAACAGCTGCAACCTGGTGCAAAGCATACACTAATAACTCATGGCTTTCACTGTAGATCCCAAATGTTAATCGCAAATGAATTCACTAATCTAAAGTGTTAGTGATCTAAAACGTTAGTGCATCAGCTACAGAAAAACAATTTTTCCGATTCAGCTTTGTGAATTTGTTGCAGTTTTACATGAGGTGTCTTTTGAAGCTCAGTATAAAAAAGGGCTTCCAATATTTTACAGTGCCAGCACAATAAGAAATACCTCAACATCTATTAAGAAGAGGTTTTCAGAGGTCTTTTTTATTGCTCCTACAGAGGTTTATTGCAAAAACAATCTTAGGTTTAAAAAAAGGCAGAGAGACATTATTTTGTAAGGTCTGGTCCACAATTAACTTGCGTACATCTTTAGGGAGATCATTTAAAATTAAGAATTTAAGAGAAACAATAATGATCAATGTGTTCCTAAATGTAACTTCAGCGATTAATGTGTTTTGAAAGCTAAGCGACCTTTTGTTGCATGCAAACAGCAGCTGGTACACCAGCAAGATGGGATATTGAAATCACAGTTTGAAAAATCAATACGGAAAACAAACAGGTTCACTGGAGCCTTGTACTATAGCTGACTGCGTGCTATATAATTCACCTAGAAGAAACTGAAAATAATAGATTGTTGGTTTCTCATGCTGCAGCTTGGTCTCAGACATCACACTCACCGAGGATGTCCGCGGGCCTCGTTTCTTCTTCTCCGCTTTCTCCTTCTCCTCCAGCTCCATGTTCTCTCTCTCTATCAGGGTGATCAGAGTGTTACACCGCCTCTGCAGCTCCTACAGCAACAGAAAGACAATCACAGGACCTTCACAAGCCATACTGAACTCATGGCTTTGGACACCTAAGCTCAAGTATTTCACATCCTTCACTGGTACTAAAAAGAACCATTGAAAACAGCCAACAGTTTTAGGCAAAGTGGGTCACATACAATATGGGACTTTTATACTAACAAAAAGGGTCACAATAAAGAAGTGCACCAAAGATTATCTCATCTTATCTGCAATTTAAAACATGTTTAAATTGAGAATTGGTTAAATGATTGAAAAGGTAAAGATAATAGGTGAATGCTCCATATGTGGATTTGAGTTAGGACTACTACATTGATACTGAGTTCGATTAATCTAAATTCTGGTATAGTTCATAAACTAGTGAAATTTGTAGATGCCAAAATAGGAAGATTATTTAACAGTGCAGAAGCTGCAAAGGGAATTCAAAAACACAAGGCAGATGTTTAATATAGACAAGTGTAAAATAATACATTTCAATAGCAGAAACAAAAGATACAAAATGGGGAAAACCGAGATTGAAGAAGACTTGTGTTTTCTTGACGCACGTCTTATAGACAATGTGATAAAGCAACAAAGGGGGCAAACAATTTTAGGACACGTCTAAAGTTTAGAATTTAAATCAAAGAATGTTATGTGAAAAGCATGTTAAAACTGTACAAAGCACTAGTCATTTAAAACACCATGCAACCTAGTGGTCTTCTTTAACGTGAAAAGTGAAACAAACAAAACTGGGAATAGGAGGGAGTATTTTGCAGAAAGGGTGGTGAGGGTCCAACAGTGCCAAAATCTGAAGTTACTATGGCGTTAACTCTACATGAAGTATGCTAGGGAGTTCTGGCACATACCATGGCTGTCCTGGACTTGAGGAACCAGTCGAATCGGAACTGTGGGGAGTTACGGATGCACTGCCTCAGCTCATCGTACACACTCTCTTTGTCAAAGCCCAGCTTGTGTAGCATGCAAATCAGAAAGCGGTCCTCCTCTTCCGTGTAGTTCTTGCCCTTGTTCGTGCCGTAGGATATTCTCAGCTGGTGAAATGGGGCTTTGTAACGTCCAATCTTCACACAACACAAAACACAAATGTTATGCTTTGTATTCGGCATACATTGTTTATTTTACCACAGCTTAAAATTAGAATGGAAGAAACCTTTGTTACGTTTCCTATGCTTTCTACCACTGCACATGGTGATAAGTATAGGCTACAAAATGTATTACTCTTATAAAACTTACTTTGGTGTCAAGTGCTTTCTTGATGCTGATTCTCCTTTGGATCCTGGCCTCTCCTCTCTCAATCTGTGCCATGATCTTCTCGATGTCTTGCAGCTCATTACATCTCTCCCAGAAAACAGCTACAAGCAGAAAACATTTCATATGTGAAGTTTAGCACTAAATATTCACTGGGATGAACACAAACAGGTCATACTCCAATTTAACAATTTATCATTTCTCAGCATGAACTCGGTACACAATCCAATAAAAATGTCTCATCCTAACCATGGAAGAAGTCTCAGATCACCATGGGTGAGCTCTTACCAGAGTATTCCATCACTTCTTCTGGAGTTTTCCCTTCAACTTCACGAGCAATGTTCTCAATATCGTCCCGTCCCCACTTCTCATTAGCTTTGATGAACTGGTTAAAATCTCGTTTGTTCCAAATTGTGAAACCCTGAATGAGAATGAGCATGTAAAGAAACATGGTAAAAATCAGTCAAGGTGTCAACGTTGGGGAATATGAAGCAAGAACTTCAATGTTCAGAAATTCAATGTTTCAGAAATTAGGTTATAAAATAGTTTTATGCTTAAAAAAGGATACTTTCTTACAATTCTAAATCCAAGTCTTTATATATAAACTGGAATGAGGATGACAGTCACCTGTGTGAGGAGTTTCTCTTTTTCTTCCAGCTCTTCTTCAGTCAGAGGCTCAGCCTCGTCAATCTTGCTCTGCTCTTCCTTCTGGGCTTGGGCAGAATTGGGCAGCTCAGGATTGCGAGGGACCTGGAAATAGAGTGAAAGGGAAAATCTTTAATCAAACCGAGAAAAATTAAACAAAGCTACAAATAGACTTCCAAACTAGGACCTTACAGAAAACATATCCCTATGATAATATTGACATTGAGGAGAAGAGAAAATAAATACTTTAATCTTTAACTTATTTCCAACACAACTGGTTTGGACTCTTGATCTCCCAATCTGCATGCTCAAGACCTCTACCAATGCTCATATAAATAATCTTTGGTTACTGAAGCAGGGGATCCTAAAACCAAAAACCATCTTCAAGCCATGACATCTCTCATGTCTACCCATCATCCTACTCCTCCCAAAAATGTTCTGCCTCTCTCCTCTAATATACCAGCATTTCAAACAAACCCTTGAAATGAGATTTCATTTTCACTGTTCAGCCAGTAAAATGACTGATACAGAAAAACCTCTGTATTTGCCAGGGTTAGGTACCTTGAAGTCTACAAGGTGGGACTTAACATACGGGGAAAACAGGGCATGGGTCTGCGTCTCAAAAAACACCTCCATAATTTTATAACAGTTTCAGAAATAGTATTAGTACTTATTGATAGTATTTTTAATGTGTGCTGTAAATTTAAAACACACCAAAATTGTTTCCCCCTTATAATTCAAGTTCTTGCAAGTACAAAAAGTTATACCCCTTATTATAGCTTACCCTGTATGAGACATAGCTTCTTCATTTTTATTTTTAGTAGAGCACTATTGTACTGTAGCAAAGCTTACTATAGCACAGAAATAACATAAAAAAGTATGCTCACTCCTTTCCCACCCATCCAGCTCATGCAGTAGACAGGCGAATGTAACCCACCAGAAGTTACCAGCATTTACACTGCTGCACAGCCCACAAATAGGCAACTCAAGTCTGGGAATTTTAGGTTTAACTGTGTTCCTCATTACTTAGTGCTGTATCGATTTTACTAGATACACTACTACACCCAGGTTTTTTTTAAAGAAACTCAAAATTACAAGTACGTTTTTGCTTTATTTTGCTGTAACAGGATTTTGAATGGATAAAAAAAACATAGCAAACTGCATTTCGCACAAAAAATCTAAACATTCAGCTGAAGGATGACAGGAACAAATTAAAAGGGTATAACTACAAATGTACTTGAATTTTGCATTGTGGGATACTGTGACCAGATACCAACCTTATATCCAATTGTTTTTCTGTAATACAAGATTTCTTTTTCCAGCAGCTCAAACAGGCGTGGAGGGAAGAACTGGAAGTCTTGAACATTGGGCTGCTTAGGGGGACGAGGAGCCTTGAAGAGAAAACCCGAGTTGAGACTGTAGTACATAATGACGCTCATGCTCAGTATCCTGAAGGTTAAAAAACGAATTCACTGGATTTGCCTTGGACTGCCTACCTTGGGCACTTTAGGCTCGCTGACACGCAGAGCCTCCCTGAAATAAGCATCCACTGCATAGTTTGCTTTTCGTTCCCTCTTAGGCGGCTCAATCCACTCAGTCAGAGTGACCTATGGGGAAAAAAAAAATCTAAAATACCAGTGTGATAACACAACCAATAGCTCTCTGCTTCTGATAAACACTCAACAAGCAGCCTTTAACTTTGTGACTTTGGTCTTGTATCTATAGTCACAACGTAAAATGTAGCAGACATTTTACACTAGCACACACTAACAAAATCAAAGACAATGTATGGGACTATAAAATTTTAGCTTACTGTTTACATTGCTCAAGATGTCTGTTCAACAGCCATTTCCAAGGGCACTGGTTAAGCTTGTCCATTCCCAGTCCAAATATTTGACTAAGACAGCACTGACAAATACTGGTCAAAACTAATGCTGACTTTTTGACCATTAAAATTTGACAAGTCAACCAAAAACCCACCTTCTTCTTTTCTCTGTAGTCTTCTCCTTCAAAGTTATACACACTGTTATCAGTGTCCATGGTAAAATTCCTTAGTGAGCTTTCACCCATGTTGGACATCTTTTCTTTCATCTCTGCAGTCTGAGAATAAATAAGAGACATTTTCAATACCATGCTGATCAAAAGTTGATAAAGTACTACGCAAACCACAAAAGATTTATATTAAAGGTATTACAGTGTGTATCTGGTTCTTTTCTGCCAGGTACTCAAGTTTCAAATTTAAACTATAAACTATACAAAAGCTCAGTAGTGCTCATGGCCTTTAACACACAACCCACACACAGAGCCACCATAACCCCATCCTCACCTTCTTCTCACCCCTTTCCAATATGGCATTAATATCCTCATCAGTGATCTCGCTCTCCTTGGATGCAAACACGTGAGTAGCACCGTGACGAATAATGGACAGCATTTCATCCTTCCCCAGTTTGTTCAAATTCTGATCCACAAGCCTTCCTACAGAAGCCAGGAAGAAAGGGTTTGAGCTTTAACCGTCACCTGCAAGTCAGGCTCTCCCCCTGAGGTATGAGGAAGCCATACAGAGCTAGCCAGTATGTCAGGCACTCATCGGATTTTATATGCAATAAGCTCTGCACTCAAGAAAAACACCTTGTCTTTGAATCTGCTGTCCTTCAGCTGTGCTGTATACTGCTTTCACATTTAGGTCCACACATACAGTACAGACTACAGGAAAGCCCAAGAAGGGCTTTAGGAAACACATTTCTAAGACTATCATTTTAGCATCTCCTCCAGCAAAGTATTAAACCTCACCTTGCTGGATGACAATAGAATCGAGCCGGAGCTTCATCTCTGCCCTCTCCACTATTCTCTCCTCAACTGTATTTTCTGTGATGAAACGGAAAACCCGCACTTGCTTCCTCTGACCAATTCTGTGGGCTCGGTCCTATAGTTTGTGGTGGAGGGAGAACAAAGCTTAAAATTGTAGGACAGAAGCTTGACATGGAAGCATTAAACAGCACCCTTTTCTATTTCTGCAGTAATACAGTTATAATTATTAATACGCAAAGGAACGAGTAAAGGTTTATTCCATGCTGAAATGAGAAGAAAAACAATGTTTCGGCTGTGGAGACTTCTTCTGTTCAACGCATGCTGACACAGCTTCCTACTTGAACTAATTATTAATATAACCACATTATCAGAACAAGGACTTTCGACAAACACTGACCATTGCCTGAAGATCTACTTGAGGATTCCAGTCTGAATCATAAATGATGACAACGTCAGCTGTGGCGAGATTAATGCCGAGACCTCCAGCCCTGGTACTCAACATAAAAAGGAACTTGGGGCTGTTTGGGGCATTGTAAGCGTTGATAGAATTCTGTAAATAAATTAAATAAGGTAGAATAAAAAAGGTAAAGTTAGAAGTTGGAATTGAAGCAAAACACCAGTCAGACTATGATCATGAAAATGATAAAAGGCTTTTACCTGTCTCTCTTCATGAGGAGTCTGGCCATCGAGACGGCAATAGCCATAGTTTCTCCACATGCAGTAATCCTCCAAGATGTCCAGCATCCTGGTCATCTGGCTGAAGATCAGCACACGGGACCCTGCGGAAGAGAAGACAATGAGCTACTACCTATGCTAGTGGTCTCACTACTAGCCTTTTCTAAGATTTAAAGTCCTGTTTGCTGCTGGCATTTATTGTGCTAAAAAAACTGAAAAGGTCCTAGGAAGTTCAAAAAGAACCCTAGCATTTTTCCTTGTCTGCACCCAAACAGCTGGCTATGAACTACTTGGGAGCGCCTACAGTTTCCCTTCCCAGCAGCACAAGGAGAACAGAAAGTCATTATGGCAGCCGAGGGGCCACTGGCACACAGGGGGGCAGAAACACATTTGCTCTCACCCTGCTCCCGCAGCTTTGGCAGCAGCTTGTCCAGAACGGCCATCTTGCCGCTGTTGACCACCAGGTGCATGTCTGTGGTGTAGGGCGGCCCGGGCTCTGCCCCGTCGAACAGGTAAGGGTGGTTGCAGCACTTCCGCAGCTGCATCAGCACGTTCAGCAGCCTCATTTTGTCCATCTTGCCCGCAGAGTTTAAAATGTCGATGTCCTTCATTAGAATTTTGGTGTACCTGACGTGTCAGAAAAACAAACAAATGTCAACTCCAGAGCAAAAGAGCTTCTTCACAAGTTTACACAACAGGGCTCAAGAACCACTTTGTTTACTAGTTCTGAAGTGACCGTGACTCTAAACTCACTACAGCACAGCTGTTCAGCTCTTTTTACTGGAAAAAAAAATTCACAGTACTTCAGCTCCTCTTGCTTTAAGTAGGAGCTAGTAGAAACCTGGATCACCTAGATATGAGACTCTGTAAATGTAACTGCAAGAGACATGAACATGGTTACCTTTAAATATGAGACTTCCATTTATCTGTACATTCCAATACCAGAGCTTTATTAAAAGCTAAAAAAGGAATTGGTTTGCAAGTCAATTCAACCACTTAAAGAATCTGCTCTGACTGCCCACTTTCGTTCTAAATCCTGTCGTCACCGACGCCGTTACTGGCCAGTTAAGACCAGAATTGGGCTCTCTCACCATTCCCGCTGCATTTTGCTGAGCCCCACATACATCTTCACTTCCTTCTTGGGAAGCAAACTCTTCTCAACATCAGCTTTAATACGCCTGAGCAGGAAAGGACGCAGCACCTGGGTTAGGAAGGAGAGAAAGTCTTCATCAGTCTGAAAGCTGTTCAATTTAACAGTTGGCACATTTTATTGCACAATATGGTAAACAAAATGCTAAACAGAAAAACTCTAATAACATTTTAAAAAGTGCAATAACCCCCCCTCCGAAAAAAACAACTTGGCAATAATTTTGAAACGAGCTCAAAGTAACACTTACAATATGCAAACGTTCAACTAGCTTCTGGTCCCCAAGGCAGTTGTTGGTGTCAAACCATGAGTCAAAATCCTTTCATGTTTGAAAAGGAAAAGAGAGTTGGTTATGTTGGTTCAAAACGTAATAAAATATAACCAGCATTATATATAAAAGATCAGACTTCCTGTGGTAATCACAGAGGAAAAGTATCTTACTTCAGAGGAATTAAAGACATCAGGCAACAAGAAGTTAAGAAGAGACCAAAGTTCATGCAAGTTGTTCTGCAGAGGGGTTCCAGTAAGAAGCAGCCTGTTGGTCGTCTTGAACTCCCGGACAATTTCCGAAAGCTAAAAAAAAGGCAATCATATTGTGAAATTGCACAGTTTTTACTGTTTCACTTGTTGCTAGCATTAAATTAACAAAGTAACTCAATTAACATTAAACTTTAAATAAAATGTCTGTCCCATTATGTTTTTAAAAGACACTGCAATCCACAGCAATATCACACTGGCGATATTTATACTTCTAAAGTTATTACCCCATTATGCACTTTCACAACCTTGTCAGTGTTACACTGCTCTAAAGAGAAAAACGTTATTAATGAAAAAAGAAACTTATGGCGTTTGAACCCACTCAGTGAATCACAGACATCACACCCTGGTTTAAATGAGATGACACAGCCATGGAAATGACTTCCCGAATACTAATGATACTTACATTGTATTAGCATATCCAGAGAGAGAAGAACAAGACTAAATTTCTCAAACTTCAAAATTATTTATTATTCACAAATTACAGTTAAATCTCACCTTAGACTTTTCATTTTTAATCCTGTGAGCTTCATCAATCACAAGATACCTCCAGTTGAACTTCTTGAATACAGATTTCTCTCTGATAAGCATTTCATAGGAAGTCACACAGACATCCCACTCTCCTGGTAGAAGTACATCACGGATAAACGCTGCCTGTACATCATGAGAACACAATAACATTAGAAATGGTTTGTTCACAGGATTATAAAAAAACAATAGCGTCTGGATATCTAGAATCAGACCTAAAATGAGATTCTATATATATAAACTTTAAAATTTTCAACCAGTCTAAAAAAGAAGGCTTAGAAGAAATGTGTACAAATGTACACTAAATCTAACCATATCAAACATCCTTTATATAGAATTTAGATTCCTGCGAGGAAAACAATTAAATCCTTCACTTCTGATGAAGGCATTCCTTGGACTTAAGCAATAACATGACCCAGAACTGCCCTTTCGATTGCGACTCGGAAAAGCTTAGCTACAGTGACTGCTTACACAATTGGAGCCGTTTAAGAACCAGAAACAAGCTTGAGGGAAAGAAAAAGATGGTTTGATTCGCGAGGTTAGATTTTACATTAAAACAGATTCAACACAAGTCATTATTCAAACAGCAGGAAAGCCAGGGGGAGAAGCTGAAAAGTCTCCCAAAACCATATTTTGTTTTTAAGCTGAGCCGTGGCTATCAGAAGGCTAGCAAAATATTTTTCTGCATTAAAGTAACAATTGCTTCTTGACCCAATATTAAAGGCTGAGAAGACTATTCATCACAGCTGATTTGCCTGTCCACCACACTGCACATACCCTTTCATCTTTGTCTCCAATGAGACAAACAGCTCTCAGAGATGGCACCCAGCGCTTGAACTCATTCATCCAGTTGTACAGAGTGGACTTGGGTACCAGCACCATGTGCGGCCCAGGAATGTTTCTGTAGTGTTTCATGTAACCCAAAAGGGATATGGTCTGCAATGTCTTCCCTAAACCCTGAGAAGAGAATTAAACAGAATGTGAAGTTACACATAACAAAAGTAATATATTCTTACAAACTTGTTGATACAAATGTATAAAATATGGATTTAATACTTTAAGAGTACTTCTCAATAAAGCAATAAAATAAATTAAAATCGAATCTAGCTGACATTAGCTTTTCTTGTAGTTTTGGCTTGTACAAAACACATCAGAATTTAGTTTCACAAACTAAATAAAAAGGACAAGCAGGACAGTCCCACCGAGCATTCTTGAGTAACCATTTCTAATATCTAAATCTTAGTTTATGCACTGTAAGCAATGGTGTTCCTTCGTTACTGGAATCCATGATTTCACCTACACCCTTTACCCCTCAGTGGACACTGAATTCACTCTGTACTTCCATGTATTGAATTATTTATTTTTACTTGCTGGGAGAAGACTTACGTCAGTTCCTATTAAAGATATGTTCAGCAAAGTCAGTGCTAAGGGAAATCTGCAGCTAGTTTCAGAAGTTACTACTTCACTGGGAAATGAAAACCCAAAACAGCTAAAGTAATTATGCACTATAACTTAAGGACCAAACATGAAAGAAGAAATACCATTTCATCTGCAAGGATGCCATTGATGCCATTTTCGTACAGTGAAATCAGCCAGTTCAAACCACGGACCTGATAGTCTCTTAGCTTTCCAGATTTCACATCTATGAAGAACATACCACAATAAAAAACCCATGAAAGACAAGTTGTTTATCAGTTTTTGCATTTCAAAGTCGCACTGGTCACAATGGAAAACGCTCAAGAAGTTAACTTCACTGGTTTCACTTAAACCTAGCAGCGCACTGTTAAAAGGCACTAATAAACAGTTATTACAACCAGAGAGCAAACAGCATGCGATCAGCTTGAAAGGCAGAAAGACGAGTCTGGACAGACGCATTCCCACTGGGATCAGTTTTCACTCCCTGTTTCACGCCCAGCATAAAACACGGATGCAGTGACGACACTAGATCTGGAAGACGGCGACGAGGAGGGACTCACAGGAGGGCGACTCGTCAAAGCGCGTGCACACGTTGGTGGCTTTGCTGTTCTCGCTCAGGAGCTCCTCGTCCTCCTCCTGCTCTGTGCGACGGTGACGGTTGCTGCTCGAGAAAAGTATGACGATATAGGTTTTAAGAACACCGAGATCAGTCGGCAGCTGCTCCTCCTCGGCAAACTCCGGCCCTTCCTGTTTAGTAGCAGGTGTAATGTGGTGCTTGGTATGCTCACATCAGTCAATTCAGCTTTTGTTTGCAGACTCATGGGCCATAGAAGATCTTCAATGTACCCTACCTGCAGCAAGCCATTCACAACTTGTACTGCACTATCACAAGTGGCAAAAATAAAGTTAAGATTCAGGATTATACGTAGCAGCTTTACCTTTTGTAAATCTGATATCAGGCATTGATAGCAACAGCAGGTATTACAAAAGCTATGATTAAATGATGTAATGCAGCACATTTACTAATCCAGAATGATGCTAGGCCTATTTTAAAACCCTTCATACAGCCAGTTTTACTAGCAGGCCTTGTATTATAAACAGCTCACAAAATGGCATGTTTTGGCCATCTGTTTCTACTTAAGTGTTATCCTTTTCTCACCAAAAAAAGACTATTTGACACAGTAACCGTTTAGTGCATCTATGGTCGCTGCAACCACATACCACACTTGTCATTTCATTTGAAGGCCTGCAAAGTAACTGTTTGGGCTATAATTACGTCAAGTGAGAAGTCACGAAGTTCAACAGTTGATTTCTGCCACTGTAGCGAACGCACACATGCTTTTTTGATGACCTGGTTCACTGCTACACCCTCATGTTCATTTACAGACCCGTCATTTGTGCCACCAGATGCACATGCCGAGTTTGTTATTTTGGTTAAGATCGTTTTCATGGGCGACTGGCGCAGTGGCTAGTATCGCTGCCTTGCAGCACTTGGGCCCTGGGTTCGGTTTCAGAACGGGGGTATTATCTGCAGGCAGTTTGTATGTACTCCCTGAGTGTGTGTAAGTTTCCTCCCACAGTCATACCCCAAAATGGAATTGTCTTCTGAGAAAACTGGCCCTGGGGTGAGTGTGTCGTCTGTGTCTGTCTGCCCTCCAATCTACTGGCATCCCATCACAGACTTTTTCTGGTCTTCAAATGGTACATCACACTTACAATTATTTTCCTACTGAAAACCTGTCACCTCAAAAAAAAAACTGAACACGGACTAAATGAATTCTGGGAACTGTTTTTCACCTTTCTCTTAATGTGCCAAAGACCTGTAAGTGGGAAGTTAAAGACTATCTGATCCTATCTGATTTATGCAAATTTATTTTTTATTTCCAATGTCAAGAACTCTTTGTCAACTAAGTTTTATTTGAAGGGAACAATTTAGAGATGTGTGGGGCAGTGAAATAACAAGATGTCACCATTTCAAGTGATAGTGTGAATTCAATATAGTCATCAGGGAAGATAACTGACAGAAATGGGGTCATACTCCTAAAAACAATAATGTCGAAGAGTACACACAACAAGAGCAGCAAGTCTGAATTAATTACTACTGCATTTTATTTTTGCAATGTAAATCTCTGACATTTCAGTAATGTTTCCAATGTTTTATGCCCCAATAAAGAGCCAACTTGGTACAAAAGGTACTTTATTTTAAAAAAAGCTTTAGTATTTCAAAGATATGATCAATTAGGAGTTTTTGCCACGCTTACCAATACCCATTCTGTGATTTTGCTGATTTGTCTACATTCTCCTATCTTCACAATCAAAGTGTTGGAGGCTAGGAAACGCTTCTAGTTTAGGCATTTAGTAAATGGTCAGTCCTTGATAAAATATATTTATTTTCCCCCAGAAACCCCATGTAAAATTCAAACAATTGCCATTAAACATTTTCATTGACTTCCACACTAATATCCATGTGTAGTCAAGAGTCTGTGTACGAATATGAAATAAACACCTACCATGTACAAAGCGAAGGTTTACATACGTGTCGTAACAGCACTGGAGAAATTAACTGGCACAGTGACAGGTAATTTGATTAACAGAACCCTCATCCAGGCCAACGTAAGGTAATGTAGCTTGGAAATGCTTGCAAACTAGTGCCATATGACCCATCTGAAGCTTTTGTGTGACTTAAAATTTGTTTCTGCACATTTAGGGTTTTTAAAATCCACAGGGCACGTACCAGTATATCATGCAAGCATTCAGAATGGGGTTCATATAATGTACTCAGACACAAAGTTAATTTAAGCAACAAATCCCTGTGTGGGGTTTTTTCCAGTATTGTGTCTGGACGAACGCCAATTTCACACACAAAACCACAGCCTGGGGGTGTCCGATAGGCTTTTGTCAGTTTGAAACCAAGTACATCATACAAGTCAAAAACTGCACTAAACACAAAACTATGCTGACAACTTACTCTCCAGCAGACAGGAGGTTCTGCTTCTCATCCTTTTTAATGCGGGGTCGCCCCGGCTTCATCTTCAGTGGGGAGGTTGGTGTCTTCTGGGCAGCTGGCTGGATGAAATGGGCAAACACTTCTGTCTGTTTGAGCAAGTACTCAAATCTGTTTGACCGGTCCGCTTGCTACATGGGAGAACACAAAGAGAAACATTGGGAAAGCAAAGGTAAGTAACCCAGGGATTGCAGTGAAGAAAACCAGCAGCGTTGTGATCACCTCCCATCCCTCTGTACAGCACCTAATTTCTGAGATCTGAACACAGGGTTTCATAGAAGGACTGAATTTGATCACACCGTCCACAGATAGACATGGTGTTGACTCCACTGGAACACTCTTTGATAAACAAATCTTGTATTTCATCAACGATGTAGCAGTTATAGGTATAGCTACAGTTTCAAAGTTCTTAAAACTCACACCCTCGGTGTTGAGTGATTTCAAATCTGTTTGATCTGATGCTCTGGTAGTCATGGTAGTCAATAACTAGCACGTAAATAGTAACAAAACCCTCAAGCCTCAAACCTTTATTGTAGTTAAGATCTTGTCTTGAAGTCTGCAAGAGCATTATTTGGAGGGCTTTGAGAGAATTTTGAAGTCAAAAGAGGCTATACGAATAAAATAATTAACAAACACTGATTTTTTTTAAATGAAAGGAATGCTATTCTTTATGCTTTTAACTGTGAATTAAACCCAAGTTGGCAATTTTTTTTAAACTTAAGTCTTTTGATGGATGTCTTAAAACACTTAACAGAATATTGCAGTGACTTTAATAGAAAAAAGGCTTTTACTGATCATGTTGTTACAGCTCTGTTAATATTTACACACTGTCTCTGTGCAGCAAGTATAAAATCTCCCTCAGAATCTTTAGTATTCAGTAAAATGTGCAAAAACGATGCATCCAGCCTGATAGCTCTGCTTCACCAGAAAACAAGTTCCCCTGATGCTTCGGAAAGTTACACAGGTGTTTATTAAAATACCCTTCTGCAATGAACATAAACATGAAAGCAAAGTTGATTATGTAAGCAAAGAAATTATGCCTACCCGCTGCTTTTCAACCAGTTCTGTAAACCCAGGCACTTAACATTTAACTAACGCACGCCATAGACTGCTGGCTCTTAACTGCAATCTGCACCTTTCTTTAGAGCACACCCAGTAGGTAGACTTGATACAGACATTGGTACCCTCCTAACCTACCAGGATAGTTAAAAACCACCGCCTTTTCTGAAAGAGGCATTAAATGAAGGGAATAAAACACCAGCATGTGTCAGTATTCATAAACCACAACCTTAACAACAATAAATCCAGCATACACTTATTTTCATTGTTTAGCTGCTGTTAACTGTGCAAACACAAAAAGAAGAAAACAGTTTTCCTCTTTAGCACCGCTTGCCTGTTGCCATATCAGAACACTGCCACAGTAGCATCTTTTATACTACTATCTAAAAATACTGTACTTTCATCACTGGAATTATGAAAAAATTAAACTTGTCATTCACATGGCCAGGATATACCCAAGTGCCCTCCACTTGACAAAATGTCTAAACGTGCCAGGTATGCACCATCTAAATATCACCTAAAACATTTATATAATGGACTGCATCCAAAAATAACTATTTGACTGGTTAAGTCAGAGGAGCTGGCTAAGACATTACTCTAACAGATCAAACTAAAAAAAATGGCTTTTCAAGTATAAAATCTTGAAAAGATATTCTTGAAGGCAAGACAATGTGGTGTGACAGTGCTAACTAAAAATAAAGGTTGTGGCAAGACATTACCATTTTCTTTTCATAGTCGGGAAACATTTCCTGTTCTTCCTTTGGTTTTAGGATGGGGGTCTCCACCTGACTGCCATCCTCATGATCAGATGCTTCTTCCTCCTTCGGGACAGGCAGATCGAAATACAATGTTAAAAACTTTAAAATGGAGAGCTGACCTGGTACACAGCTACAGAAACTTTACTTCTAGGCTGAAACACATTTACCAATCCTTGTTATTGTAGCTGAAGTGCAACAGCTGAAAATGTGCCTAGATCTGTAACCCGTGCAATACGTCTGCCAGATGTACAAAGCCCTATTCGTGATTATTCCAGAATGTATTAATAATGCCAGTTAACGAATGAGAGCTAAGTTACTGAACAAAAGCGAACTCTCACATTTTACGTTTGGACACTAGGTGTCTAAAACACGGTCAGAGTGGGAACCTGCGTCAGCAAGCGGACAAGAGGTTAAATCCACGCTGAAAAGTGAAAGAAGAAAACTTCAGGCTGACGCCGATTTCTTGACTAGCTTTCAACCCGGTTACCCGCGGCTCTCTCGGCCGCGGAAGAGCACAGACACACAGGAGTGGGCGGTTTGTATTGATGGTGACGTCATGGTTTCGCAGCCCTGAGAGGGAAAAACGGGAAGCTTCAGACCCCCCCAAAAAATGTTTCAGAAGTTGGTCGAAAATACTGAGGTGCTCGTCTCGAACCTTTATTCGCCTGGTATCAAGAAGCAGGGGTGAAAAGACCGACTCGGACGGACACAAAACAAGCAGGGGTTCTCGACGCCTTCGTCCGCTCCGCTGCTCATTCATTCCGCGGATTCCCTCCCCGCGATGCCGCTGTGGTGTCGGCGAAGCGGCTGACTGGAACCAACCAGCCTGAGCAGCAACTAGGCCAAAAACTGACGGGCTGGGGAGCTGAAGTCCCCTCACACGCACATCACCGGTCCCTCCGCTCACAAAACATCACACAGGCGCTCCTTTCGGGAGCCACGTAAAGTTGCCGCACGCCTCGTTTTAGGACTTCGTTTCACGACAGAAGAGTCGAGAATCAAAAATAAAAACACACATCAAAGCGGACGGGGTTCCTCGAAACTCCCGATTTCCAGGCTCACTCGATATCCGGAAAACTGTTTAGTGCTCAAGTACATCCCCAAGGCAGGCCGAGTACCGAAGCACCTCACAATAATCACAATTGGGGTTTTTTCTACTTCAAACAGGACACCATCACGACCACGCACAGCTGAAGCGTCCCTTTATTTCCTATCAACGCCGGTTTACTAAAAAAGTAAAAAAAAAACACCCAGTTTTTTCAACCGAAACATCAACGAGGTTGAAAATCCAGAAAAGAAACAAGAAAAAGAATGGAACCCACTACCAACCCACAACACAAACAAAAAAAAAACAAAACCAGAAACAAATCGAAAAGTAAAATCAGTCAAAAGTTCTGCATTCGCTATAAAGACGTCAGGCACTTCGGACCTGGCCATGTCAAGATGCCGGCCAGCCCAGTGGCCCCTCTCCGTGCTGCTATTGTTCCGCTCACCTCCTCTCCCTCCGGCTCAGCCTCCATCCGCGGCTCCTGCTCCACGTTGTTGTTCTCCGTCTCGGACATGCTTTGTCTCTCCTTCCGGATCCTCCACTCTTCTCTCTCGAAAGCGCCCAGCCGCGGGAGTCCTCAACTGCCTCGTACTCGGTAATCCGAAGAAGGGGCTCCTGAAACCGATTATGCGTAGAAAAAGATTTCCCTGACGGCAGCTCTTTTCTTTTCTGTCTCCCCCAACACACGCACACACACTCCACAGGACAGATGAGCACCACCACGACGCCGCGGATCAGAAACCTTGCCCGGCTTTTCGGAACTGTCCCACCAACCGGGCTGAACTGCTAAGCATCGCGAGATGTCACTGCGGCCGTTCCTCTACGGAGGAAGAAGAAGAGTCTCGCGAGACCTTAAAACAGCCATAAGGGCAAGATTCGAGTACAGAGACAAGAGGCGTTGTATGTCAGTCGCTCATTCATTGTTGTGCTGTATCAATGATTTAAAATTTAGTTACTAAAAGGTTTATAACATTCTCAAAGTCCTGCCTTTTTAGGGAATTTTTTTCCAACCGGCCCGTAATTTTGGATGTATGTGTTAGACAATGTCTAAAGATGGTTTGCCGTGAAAGGCACCTTGTAAACGAGAAGTTTGGTGTTGAAACAAAACAAAACTTGTTCTGTATCTCTGAGAGTCTTACAATTTCTAAAATCCCGATTTTCACTTAGCTGTAGATTTCTTAACTACTGCTTGCTATAACAAAATAGTTCCAAATGGCTTGTACCCATTTGTATTTCTTGTGTTTTCATTTTCAAGAACGCTACAAGAAATCTAATGCTGGACTGTTTCTGAGAGACCCATTTTAAATCAGTTGCTCTAGCTTCGTTGTGTTGATCATTCAAAAATTTGGACAGAATAACAAAAAACAAGGAATAAATTAAGAATTAGATTGCCCTATTGTAAACTTTTGTGAGGGAAAAATATTATCGGTCAATCTAAATTTGTTATTTAAAGATAAAAAACACTTGTTCAAGCACCTGATCAATTAAGCAACTGATACAAAGAAGGGAACAATAGTTCTTGAGGGCTGAAGGATATTTGACATTTTTTTTTAAATAATCTGTGAACTGTGGGTAACAGTAGCACAGTGGTGCAGGGGTTTACTTTGTAGTGCTGGGGCCCAGAGTTCAATTCCTGGGGTGTTGTGTGGTTTCCTCCCACAGCCCAAAAGCATACTGGAAAGTTAATTGGCTTCTTTGAGATTACCCCTTTTGTGAGTGTGTGCTTCCTGGGTTAGGATCTGACTCCTCCACAAATTAGATATGAGGTTGTTGAAAGTTAACTGTTGACGTGATGTGAAATTGGTGATATAATGGTTGCCTGTAACACCCAGACAGGCAACCATTAGGCAACCAATAGGATTCCTATTGACGTTCATAGGTATATTACTATAGTTTTAAGAACCATAACCCAACAGATTTTCTAAATCTCTTAAAATCATCAACAGCTAAAGACCTAGGTAATATGCTAAATTAATTAAATTAGGATAATATGTAGCTTGATCGTGGAAATAAATCTGAGGTAGATCAAAATCCCACAAGCAATGTGCCCCCCCAAGAGGAAAGTTTTGCCCTACTGATATAAGCAGAGATGTGCCACACTGATTCCAAAAACTTGCACTGAGGTTATCAATCTGCCATCATACAGCACACCCCTAATCATTTCTTCACTTCAGGAGGTGGTGTAAAAAATGTGTCATGGAATAAAAAATCAGAGCTAACCTGATTAAGACATTGTTGTGCAACAGCAGTGAGGCCTGGATGTGATTTTATTTGTAAAAATGAAATTGAAAACACTGGTACTTAGCTAAATAACAAAGCTATTTTAATATTTTGTGGTTAGAATCAGCATTGATGAGTGCATTTCAAACCATAATAAAAGTCAAATGTACACTGTAACCTGTAAAATTTCATATTTACATCACAAAATAGATTAAAGTTCCAGGTATGCGCAGCGTGATCTGTATGCAGTACATGATTTACATTAGTCATTACATCGACTAGCGAGCAGAAAGGGCCGCATCACATCACAACCCGTGGAAACTTGTTTGCGAGTTTGCAACAACATGGTGATTTAGTGCTTTCACAAAGTTCACAATTTTGGGCTTAATTCGAAATTTATAAAAATGTTTTTTACAACATCAGTTAATTTATTTTGTTACTGAGATTTAATAACTGGTCCAAAAAATCAGGATTGCAGTTTGCCTTTAACATGTGGTATATATCTGCAACCCCCTGGCGTTGGACTGTCCCCAAGACCCCTTTCACTCCAGGTTCACACTTTCCCACCATTTCCCCCTGTAAAACCAGGAAGCAATTCCCTCTTTTTCTCTTTCCCACCTCTGCGTCCAGAGTATGTCTCTCTTTCTGCCTTCTAGCCTGACCTGCTCCGTGAGTGGCATCGCTGTGATGAAAAGGGCAATAAAACTGTCAGTGAGTCTGACAGTCATCTCCAGCCTGCGTAATGCCACCGCTGAAACGAGAGCTTGTGTTGCATTGGTGTAAATAGTGGGATGCCCTGCCTTGGGTTGTAGGCGAAACCTGGAACACAGCAGAACAACTGCTGCTCAGACAGAGCCAAAGCAAAGCAGCTGGGGGGAGCAATGGACTGGCACAGATAAGGCATTTACAAGATTGCTCCCTTGTGCCTAGTGCAACAGAGGGTGACATCCAGCCCTGCTCCCATGTGCCACAGGGCCCTGCTGCCAGAGCTCCACAGAAGACGATGTCCAGCAGCACCCTAGCACGTCACTGGGACGAGGCCCTCATGCGATCACTGGCTGTGGGACCCTGCTGCCAGAGCACCATAGAGATTATCGCCCAGCAGAACTGTGAATGCTCCCCACCTCACATGAGCTGTGGACCCTGCTGCCAGAGCATGTGCCCTCTATAGAGGACAGCAGGGGTGCCGAAGCCACACTCCAAATGGTCAAAGAGTGGGTGCAGACCCACGAGTGGGCCACATAGGAAGAGACAACTGGTGGCCTCCCCATGGACAGTGAGCCGCTAGGTCCTGCTGTCAAGCCTGCATTTTCTAGAAAGGACAGGAAGGGAACCGAAACCAGACTCCAAACAGTCCAAGAGAGGGTGTAGGCTACCCTGTGTCCTGCTAAACAAGATGACCAGATGTTTTCTCCATCCCTCTGACACCATGGGGAGACAGTCCGTGACGTCTTCCTCGGGCAGGCGAGGGCTGCGGGACAGTGGATCTGAGGACACTGCCTGGGCGGGGCAACAGGTGGGTGGGCCCATGCAAGGTCTTTGAGCAGGGAAAGAGGAGACCGCGCCCCTGTGTCCACACACGCATTGACTGAGTTCCCTCTGTGAAAGAAGACACCTCCAGAGATTGATCGTCCCAGCCCCATCTGATGAAGGGCAAGACCTCCCTGGTCACTGCACTCCAGTAACCACTGGTGCTCCGGTCGGCCCCAGACCAGATCCCTGCTGCTCCTGCTGCCCAAAAGACAGTCCAATTCCAGGATTTCAAAGTCTGTCTTGGGGAAAGGGACTTGGGGGGCTGCTGTGTCATGGTCGACACTCCCCGGCGCTGCGCTGACTGTGCCCACACCCCCTCCCCTTTTACCCCTGGTCCACCCTTTCCTGCCGTTTTCTTCTAGAAAAACATGGAGCAATCCCTGCTCTCCCCTTTTCACCTCTGTGTCCAGAGGATGTCTGCTCTTCCTCTGCCTTCCCAGCTTTACCTGCTCCGTGACCCGCCGCAATGAAAAGGACAATAACACTGTCAGTGAGGCTGCAAGTCGTCTCCAGCCGAAACTGCCAAAATGGGAGCGTCTGTTGCAATAGGTGAGAGGATACAACTCTTTTAGCCTGTAATTAACAGTTTGCCAGTCAGAAATGATTAACTTGCTGTGTTAGAAGGCTACAGTTCATGCGCAGTAAAAGATTTATGAGGGAAAGAAGTGAGGGAAACAATGTGTATCTAAATCCCACGAAGAGCCGCTTAGTACTATTCACAAAATCTGAAAACGCTGAACTTGGGTTTGGAGTGGAAATGAAATGGTACTTGAAAACTTGGATTTATATAGCACTGCAACAGCATCTGCTGAAGAGGAGGCAGCTGCCAATCATTCCACTCCCAGATAATTGACTGTTGATCTTCTCTCTATCTAAGTGTCTGCCGTCTCTGTAGCAGGGTGTGAGGTACCCAGTGAGCAGGCAAGCACTGCACACCTGGGAGCTCTGGTGAAAGGCTTCAGAGAGCACAGGACTTTCCGAACAGGCCGGAGAACAAACCTGCGGTCCGAGAGCTGCAAGCACCACCAGATCAGGGGCTGTAATATTGAGAAGACCACGAGCCTGGAAGACCACTTAGAAAACCACTGGTGACATATCTTAGTGGCTGAAGATACTTTGATTGACACTGCGAACTGTGCCTCAGAACCTCCAAAGTGTTTCCAGCTTACAGAATGAAGGGCACAACGACATTTAAATTTCAAACCCTGTCGGCTCCAGACCTCTGCTGTGCTCAGGCTGCAACAAGCAGCTCTCATCCTAAAGTATCCCACAGCACACTGCATGAAGGAGGGGACCCACTTCGCCCACCACCACTCAGGAACAGAGCCCTGGTAGCCTCTGTGGGCCAGAAGCACCACTACACAGCACATCAGTCAGAACTGTGCAATTCATTTACCATTTGAGCTGAGGGGATTCTGCAGGAAAGCCAGATTGTATAAGACAGTGGAAATTTTAGCCAGGACCCCAGAGTTAAAATCCCTTCTCTTTAAAACAGTTTAAAATTACATCAGAAGATCCAGTGCCACTTTCTACAACCCGGTGTCCCTGGTCATCACATTGAATCACTAATTACAAATTGTCCAGAGGGAAGAGTGCCACCTACTGACCATCTGCTAAACGGACCAGGCCCAGCCCCGCTGGTTTTGATCAGGTTACAGGGTGCTACTGTATCTCAGCCGCACGTCTGAACAGAGAAACCAAGCAGGACCAAAATTTCATTTCAGCAATTTCTGGGTGCAGATAATGTAAAGGGTTTGTGGAAAAACTTTGTGAAAATCTATAGACTTTTTATGGGACTTAAAGGAGTTGCTCGTGAATACTGCTAGGCAAAAGCTGTATAATTATGAAAACGTGACACTGCATCACTTTGGGTGACTAATGAACAGTTATTAGACTGTGTGTGATCCTCAGTAGCTCCAAAAGACATGCTCTGAAACTCTCAGAGCCCCAAGAGCAGCAGAAGCAACTAAACAACAGTACTTGAGGACCACACCTGGCAGGAGTGCACACAATAACCGTAGCCAGTGTTTCAGAGTAGTGGAGGGAAACCTATGACCCACATTTGATGACTGGAGCATTTTCTCAGATGAGCCAGAAATAGAAAATAATCTAATTTAGATATGACAGAAATGGTTCCACAGTGTCCAACCAAAATAAATATGTAAATAAATTATTAATTTGTAATTTCCTGTAAATTTGACAGTGAAGTGCATTCTGCAGCCCCTGATGCCTCCAGATGGATCAGGTCTTTTCGGCAGCTTTTGGAAATACATTTTCCACCAGAATGAGGAGGGTGAGTTTTCTTATTAACTTATTCAATATCCTAAAAAATAGTCCCGTCTTTTTTTTAGTCCCGTAGACACAGAAACACACATGCACTGCAGAGATTCTCCGTTTTTTTCCCTCTTTCCTTGGCAGTCACAGCGGGAGAAGGACAGGCGGGAGCAGCAGCCTCTGGATACTCCAGTTTATTGCCCTTGAAGATTGCAGGTGGGCGTGCAAGTCGTGGAGACTGGCAAAGCACAGAGATAAGGAGAGAGTGAGAGAGCCATTGGCTGAAAGCACATAAGGACAAAAGAGACACGAGAGGAAACTTTCCCTGCCTGCTAGGGGATGGGGGTGGCGAGAGAAGGGAGTACTCCTGGCTGTGATGACAGGGTGAAGGTCAAGGAGCAGACCAGCACCGGGGGTGGGGGGGGGGAGGTGCAGACCACTACACTTTTGCTTATTTGAACATTTGAGATAACAGTATAGCATACAACAAGGCATACAGAACAACCATTACCTATGTAGAGATAGGAAAAACAATCATGGGTGTACAGATACATAGAAACTAATGCCAGTTATTGAATGAGAAATCTACTGTAGCATTAATTATTCCTGAGGCTAGAACATCCCAACAAGCTGCAGTAAACAGCTTCCAATTCTGAAAAAAGTCCCTTAAAGTGCTTACAGGTCCAAGTATCCTAGTGTTAAAGTTCTGTGCTCTGTAGGTTTTTAATTCTCTAACATGGCATTCTTTTGTGTTGATTTCTCGGTTTTGCATTATTTCACTGTTTCAGACTGCAGCAGACAGCCCTCTTCGTGTTAATTTCCATATCACCCTACAACTCACAACTGGCAACCCACTAAAGCTCAGCAGGTGTGAGCCTGGCCAGTACCTGAATGGGAGGCCTCCTGGGAAAAACCAAGATTGGTGCTGGAAGAGGTATTCGAGGGGCCAGTAGGGGGGCGCTCACCCTGTGGCCTGTGTGGGTCCTAATGCCCCAGTATAGTGATGGGGACACTATACTGTAAAAATATGGCATCCTCTGGATGAGATACTGTATAAAACCAAGGTATTAATTGCAAGTTTTCATTGCCCTGTGCAGTGGAGTTCCTCTTACAAGGTCCAGCCAGCATCATGTGCCAAGGAGAGCTGACTCAGCTGACTAGCAGAGGATCATTTCTCTTCAAAAAGAGGAAGCTGGAAGAGCAAACCTTCATTTCAACCAAAAGCATCAGCTTCACTCAGAGAGACTTTTATTATTGATCATTTTCACGTTGCTAACAAAACAAAGAAAACAAATTTGCCACTGCAATTTCGACTAGAATCAGAACACATGAATTTGGCTCTGTCCACAATTATTCTGATACACATTATATCAATTAAAAAAACTAAATGTGCGACGGGATGTGGAAAGTTTTAAGAGTAGGACCATTATGCTTGTTTTTCTTGTCTACAATATATTGATATGTGGATTTGTCCAGCTATTGCCTAAAAGTTTTTAGCTATTGAATGAGTTTAATAGCATGACAGGCTCATTACTTCAAGAACTCCTCCAACCTTCATCTAAAGAACTATTTTCACTCTTGCGTTAGTTTTTTTTTTTAATTTAGAATTACCAATTAAACACCCCATACGGAAGAACCACTGTGGTGTTTTTCATGCAAGCGTAGTTACAAATCCCATCACCACACACAGAGGAGAATACTGTAGATGGAGACCAGTACCTCCCAACAGCCCTCCTTCGAGTTTCTCTTCGTTTAACAGATTACAGGTACCATAGCCCCAGGATGGAGGTTCAGCCTGGACTGGAACACGGTAGAAGACACCAGAGAAAGTCCTGGCCTACTCCTTGTACCCTAGCTCCTGGGTAAGGCAAGAGCTGGCGCTCAGCCGAGTGGGAAGTGCTTTTTAAGGAATCCCAGTCGCAGTCAGCTAGCGACGTGACCCAGGCTCGAACCCGCGTTCATACAGCTCAACCTGTGCTTTGGTAAGCCGCTTGAGAGGCTTAAATTCCTCTTTGTTTCAGCATTGACCCTGAAGCACTCCATTGCTTTGAATGTGCTAATCGCTTTAAGGATTCGGAATACAGTACCTGTATTATGCCCCATCGAGTCCTCATGAGTGAAAAGATTCAGTTTCTTCAACCATTCAATGTAATGCTGCAAACTATAAGATGCGAACATGGCCACAAAGACGGTATGGGTGATTTTAAATGCCTGACTAAAGCAATGCAAAATTTTAACACTGCTCCATTTAATTCCTATCCGTTTCACACCATCATACTTCCAGATTCATTTTCTTACTATGGTGTCATGAGTCCAATGATGAGTCAACATAAGTGCCTAAACAATTTTCAAGTTCAAGACGATCAGTGCCAACCATTTTTAAATTTACAGTACACATTCTTCAAACCTGCATATACTTGTCTAGATTAGATTTCATATCCCTAATGTCTGCCTGGAAATGAAGTGTCTAAGTGTTTCTCTACTGCCTTATATAATGTTTGGAACACCACCATCATTTTTGTATTCTCTGCACATTAAACTAGATTTACAAATCTCAGCAAACAAAATGATTTAAATAAGGAAGAGCATGGAATCACCATGGCACTGTATAAATATTAATCAATGGTTAGTTAACTTCTTCACTTACCACTTACCCTTTTTCTGCACACTCTCCAGTTATTCAATCACATGCACAATTAAATTCAGATTTTTGCAAAACTGGCTCAACAGTCTATACTGTATCAAGAGTTTCATTTCATAACTACTTGTGCACAGGAAAATGCTGCATAGTCTGTGCCCATTTCATACATAACCTAAGTGAAATTCAATCATTCATTCAATTCAAATCATTTGAAGACTGAGTTTCCACTGAAAAAAATCAATAATGATGAAGAATGGAAAATTACAAGTGGGTTATAATCTTAAAATGATTGGCAAGATTAAAGAGTGCCCTGATCCCTTGATTTCTAGAAAAGAACAATCACACATGAATATACAGATCATTTCTACCCATTACCTGAGTTTATTTTTGTTTCACAGGTATGAGTTCTTGAATTTCAGGATAACTTAATTTGAAGCAAGTCTCTACAAGTATTTTTCTTCAATTCTGCCATCTCGAACCTGGAATTTAAAAGAATTGAACATGTACACAATGTTTTGTGACTAACCAGTCTTCCCTCTGATGTAATTCCCTTGTTGTAATACAGTACTCTACAACAGACCAATTTCAACTGAACTATGATCAGATCACAGCAGTCTGACCATAGGAACAATCTAAAAAAACAGCAGAGAGATTGTTATTTCTGAATCAATCCCAGGGGAGATGAAGTTAGGCAGTGCTGATGTTCTTTACCTGAATTTGCTTAAAAGATGCAGTCTACTTTCAATGGAGAAAGTCAAAGCCTTTTGCCAGGGAATTTACTCAGACACAACAAGAACACTTGTGGAAACTTCGACCTCCCTAGTTACAATGCATTAGGGCACAAAGGAAGACTTTTAATCTTCATTTTGTTGAATCTGTTCTTAAACAAAGACAAACTAAGCCTTTACTACTTACTACTTCACTACTTTCTGAAAACAGGTGTTTATGAAGAGGTTAGGAGGCAAAAGTTAATTAAAATATTCTGCCCTGAGATGCCCTTTATAAGATGCCTAACAGGTAAAGCAGTGTGATGTCCAGCACATGATTTGAAAACAATTAATAGTGATTTTAATAATTTCTTTCTTTCAGGTGTTTAGAATGCATAACGCTCTTGTTTATTTACTTTAAAATGTACACTTGTCTTTTGATTTATTTAAAAAAGATACAAAGCATAAAGATTTGTTGTCTGTCATGTAACCAGTAAATTCTGCAGAAGAGGAGGAAAATTAAGCCACTTGGAAACAAATCTTCAGTTCATTATAGGCACAGTTCTCGAAGAGTACATGCTGGAATAGTAGAGCAATTATGTACAGGAAAGCTAAGATTTTCAGGACAAAGCAAGACATACGCTTCTGCGTGTTCAAGGTTTAAGTACAGAGAAGTTAGTAAAGGTACTGTAATATATGTACAGACGGTAAGATAAGTACGTAAGTAGTTTAGGCAGATGTGTTTTTCTTATTTACAGCAGACATCAACAACATCATCTAGATAAGGCAGTCCCAAAGGGGGAAAAACTGTAAAGCAAATTAATACAAAATAAATTAAAATGATTTAATAGGAAAAGAAAAAGTGTTAATCTTGAAAAAGTCACCTAGATAAAGGAATGAAGAATAAAAATACATTGCTGATGCAAAAATAAAATAACTGGCACTTGTTAAGAAGGCATCTTTTACAGCACATTTTCTGAGCATTAATAAACAGTTTACAGATCACAAAACTTATATCAATCAGTAGCGCATAGATTGCAAGATCACTACTGGTTATAAGAACACCTGACTACTTTAAAAAAATAAATTATAAATGGATAGCTGTATTAGTAATTATGAGTACCTGATCTTGTTTTCTTTAGAGTTTGATACCTTGCATAACTAACAGAAAGCTTAAAAACTTCCCATTAAAAAGCTGTCACAGTTAAATCAATTCCATCATTTTCATAATTCAGATTATAAATCCGAAACCACCATCTCAGTAGGTGCGGGATTCTTTCCTGCAGAATCCACACTTTAGCTTTCGCATAGTAGATTCAGTACACTTAAAGGACACTTTCAGTAATATAGATTATTTTAACTTAGACTACTCACACTTTTGTCTGAGCAAATGGGATGCATTTATATGAAAGGAATAAGGAAGTGAAGAAATGTTATTTTTACACCTTTGAAGCAAAATTGCATTTTCTACAAAACAAAGAAACTTATTCTGAATTTAAAGCTGCATTAGGAAGCAACTTTAAGGACATGAAGCAGGTAAGAATATTTGCAGCTGGATCCAACTGTGATGTCCTAGAATGAATCGGAAAACAGAAAGTGATTTTTGTCATCCCCCCCCTCCCCAAACTTTGAACGTGACCTAGCCAAGTTTTTCTTGTAAAGAAGTGAATCTAAGAACCTCCCCCACAAAGAATAAGGGAAAGAAAGTGAATCAACCTGTGTACAAGTGTGTGCGAATGAGTGCGCATATTAAGATTTCAAGAAAAAAAAAAGGACAACTATAGCATCTGACAGAACAGTGAGTGGCCTTTTTAAAAAAAGAAACGTCAAGGAAAACACAATGAAGTGCCCACTGGTCCAAAAGTCCCCGGCTGCATTGGCGTCTTTTCCAGCATGAAGAAAGCGGGCAGAGTTCTTCCACCATGCTGTGACATGCCAACAGGAAGGCAGAGCTGGATGTGTTGTGTTCAGAACATTGAAGCAAAGAGCAGAGTTCAGATAGGCGGTACTGTAAACAAAATGCTGAAACTCTTTTTTATTTCCTTTGTCTTTCACCAACGAGAGCCCATGCCTTAGTGTTCCTTTAAGCCTCTTTCCAGCAGTGCTGTTGTGCGGCAGCGGCAGTGTCCAGCCCGCAGTGGTCTTTGCACCGGCTCGTGGGAGGGGGACGGCCGAAATCACTTGGCGCCTTTGGAAGGAGTTTCAGAATCTGTCGATTGCCTCCCATCGTTCCAGGCCTTCCGGGTGTCCTTTAACGCTTGCGTTCGCTGCTGATCCACAACCACGTAGTCCACGCGCTCATCCGACGCGGTGCTGCTCGTCCCGTTGCTCTTCTTCTAAACAAACAAGGAGAACGCGCTCATGACATCAGCACTCTTCTTAGCTCAATTAGACACCTGCAGAATACGCTTTCGGACAAGCCCGTCGCTCTTTTAAACAGCGACATTTTTGACCCATTTTGTCTTTATGTGAGAGTAACTGAGAATTAGAATTCTTAAATACAGTCATCAGCTTACGTAGCGGTTATATTCCTTAACCTGCTAAGTAACCAAATTCTATGTGGGATTTTGATATTTTTACAGTGCAGTACAGTCATCCCTTGATTTAGGAACTTAATATATACTGCTCGAAAGGTGAAAATTCGTAAACCAAAAACATAATTCCTATAAGAACACATTAAATTTTCTAACTCTTATAATGACAACCCCAGAGTTCCCTCCCAACACTATCCTAAAGTTTAAACAGAACATCAGACGAAAATATCAAGCACAGCTTTGCCTCAAAATAACTTAACATATAAACAAATCGAAACAACGCATACAAAACACTAAACGGGCAGTGAAATGATATTAACCAATCAGAGGGGTATCTCACAAAGCAAGATTACACAGTTAGCCAGATAACGTTAGTGAATACAACGCATACAACGCTGTAAGCAGGTGTGAGCCTGATCAGTACCTGGATGGGAGACCTCCTGGGAAAAACTAAGGTTGCTGCTGGAAAAAGTATTAGAGGGGCCAGTAGGGGGCGCTCACCCTGCGGTCCATGTGGGTCCTAATGCCCCAGTATAGTGATGGGGACACTATACTGTAAACAGGCGCCGTCCTTCGGATGAGACGTAAAACCGAGGTCCTGACTTTCTGTGGTCATTAAAAATCCCAGGGTGTTTCTCGAAAAGAGTAGGGGTGTAACCCCGGCATCCTGGCCAAATTTTCCCATCGGCTGTTATCAATCATGGCCTCCTAACAATCCCCCTCTGTGAATTGGCTTCATTACTCTGCTCTCCTCCCCACTGATAGCTGATGTGTGGTGAGCGTTCTGGCGCACTATGGCTGCCGTCGCATCATCCAGGTGGGGCTGCACATTGGTGGTGGCGGAGGCGAGTCCCCATTACCTGTAAAGCGCTTTGAATGGAGTGTCCAGTGTAAGCAATTATTATTATTATTAATTAATACACTCACATAAGTCTGGCTTTTTAAATGACTAAACAAGATTGTATCATATCCGATTAAACAACTACAGTGTTACTTCCTCTAATTCCCAACCTGCTGTTATTTTAACAGGTAGGCGCGGCGAGATTTCCAGCTTGCCAATCAGAAGCGGGACGCTCCACCAGCTGCGCCATGTCCTCCTAACAGCGGAGTCAGACTGCACCCAGCACACTGGCAAGTCGTACCTTACGAGGGGGTGTTGATTTTCCCGGGTCCAGGTCCAAGTCCAAGTATTCCACCTGCTTGTCACCTTTCGGTTTCACCATTGGACTGCTGCCGCCATCAGTGTTCATCTGGGCCAAAAGTTTCATGTTCTGAGGCTGAAAGGGAAACGTTACACACAAGACATACTCATTGAGAGTGTAAAGACTGAAATGTTCCAACAGTGTGAGAACTGCACAGCAAGCATGAGGACAGGAGAGACAAGTGCTAATATCTAAATGGTCTAGAAAAGTCAGTGTTAAGTATAACAATGGCGTTTTAGGACAGAGATAAATGCAGCATAATTATTTTCTTGGACAAAAGAAAGCGACAGCATGCACTGAACTGCAAAGCAAAGAAGAAAGTGACATAGTTCAGCTTTAGCATTTTCTTTGTCTCTGACTCTCGATCTATTGCCCAAATTTTTGCCCCTCCATTCTGGAATGCCCAGCAGTTATACTTCCCAGGCGAGAGCAATGAGGACTTAAATCACACTAACCCACTCTACCCACACCAGTCACATCCACTACATCTACAAAGCTCAGCAGGCATTGCAGCAGGTTGGCACAGCCAGTCAGTTCTAGGCAATCTTCCTTCTCTAACCAATGATAACCACAGGCCCTCGTTAAGCGGCACTCATTAAGCCACTTAACGGAACAGCAATTGGGCAAAGCTTTTTCAGCAATTAACGCCAACTCCTTTCTCTAGACTACTCTTCCAAGGCTCCCACCTCACCTCCTCTATCTCGTCAAGGTCTGACACTTCTCGCTTAACAGGGGTGATGGGGACAGTGCAGTAGAAGGACTCTTCTCTACAGAGCAGGGGGAGAGAGGAACAAGAGGGGGCAGTCAGAAAGGAACTGAAGAAAAAAAAAAGCGCAAAGGGAAAAGAGCAGCTGGAACAAGAAAGGAAAACCGCCAACGGATGAAATAGGGCAGCAGAAGGACATCCAGGTAAAAAGGAAGGGTAACGCTGTTCAAAAAGAATACACGAGACCGGTAACAACTGGCCCTTTTCTGTGTCATCATGTAAACACCAAAAAGTGAACTCGGAAATAACGTACTCGTCTGTGTTGCTTTGTGAGTGCAGCATAAATAAAAGGAGCAAAAGAGCACAGCCCTGGCAGGTATAAAAACTCCTCTCCTGGCTCTCCTAGGCTCGGACTGCCAAGGCGAAATAAGCCATGAAACAAAGGTTTCAGAAAAAATGAAGCCACATTGGAGATGTTTGCCTTATTAAACCTATATTTAAAGATACAAGAGAATTATTTACTGATGACAAGAAAAGGGTCCTTGATACCAGTGGGGGAATTGGCATAAGAGATGAAGTGCAAACATAACAATGGAAGAGAAGCAGTCTCCAGTGGTGCTCCAAGCAGAAAATAAGACTTAAAAAAGCTGGAAAAAAGAAGAAGTGAGGAGTCCTTCTGGCCAGTCCTTTTCAACTGCCTATGATGGGGCTCTTCTACTGAACGCGTCCTCATTCACATTGAGAAATCACACATAGCTGAGGGACTTTCCTCAGCACAGAGGACCAACTACCAATAAAATCAAAAGGAAAGGTGACTCCTAATATGCTGCAGGCTAGATTTGAAATGTATCCTAGTTTAGTTCAGTTTGATTGGTTATACTAACAGAGGGAAAGCTGTATTTCAGCTGCTGGGTTTACCTTATCATTTACATTATGCTATTTCCTTATGGTAAAGTGAAAGGAATACATGCACAGAAACTCTGAAATACAAACTATTAATAACAGTTATAATGATAAGGTTAATTTTCACAATGTGTATTAAAAGGTTCATATACCATTTATCTATCAACATCATTTAAAAAGCCTCTTTTACTTTAGAATCCCCAACTAAGTTAGTCCTATCATTTTCTAAAGATTAGCATTCTGGGGGGCAATTTTAAACAACCAGGAGCACACATGATCATCCCAGAAGATCCAAACTACGTCGTAGAACATCCTTCTATTCAGTAGTTGAGCAAAGATCAAACGAAGATCTGTACTCTGTTGTCATTGCTCTTTCTTGAGAATGTATATTTTTCTACATGGCTATAAATTTAGGTGTGCTGCATCTGTGCTGCCTGCCTTTGCTGTCACATTGTCAAGGCTCTCTGCGATCTGGTCTTTCAGAAAGATTACATTTATTTCACCCCTGATCTGAAGTCAATATTATGCAGACAAGCGTGAGCCCTTTATGAGAGGATGCGGAGCACTTATTTATATAGAAGGTCACAGAACATAATTCATTAGAGTCCAAGACAAGGTCTGTGAACAACAAACAAAGGCCAAATTCAGTGATGTCACTGTCAGCTACCAACCTAGCACACTGCAAGCCGGCAGGGTACGAACCTGCCCTGAACAGGAGGCAGAGATTTGAATTTCAAGAAGGTGAGCAAGATAAAAATAAAGGCATAGTTTTAGACAGAAAGCATGTCAGATGGTACAGGAAAATAAACTGTTTGTCGACTACAATGGCACAGTGAAAAAAAAAGTGAAAATAGGAACAGTAGACTTGGAGCTGAGTTTACATACTGGTTCGTCTGCAGGCATGCTAGAGACCATGGGTACATAATTCTCATCACTGTCGTCGTGGGAGTCAGTGCTGGAGGCGGTGCTCTGCACTGACGGGGGTCTTGGAGGCATAGGGAACCTGGTGGGACTGATTAGCAGGACACGTCTTACAGACCACACTTAAAGCACAAAGATCACCTGCAACATTGAAGTCATCACTGACAGACAGCGTGCTCAGAGTCTGAGACACTCCATCCTGGAGCTGATGTTTCAAAACCTTCACGTCTCATGTAAAACAAAGCATGAACCCATGTCCTACATTGTGCAACATTTAAAACCATAGGGAATAAAACAGCCACGCGTTGACAGCAGTATTCTTAAATGATTTGTTCAAGACAGGTAAAGGCCACAAAGGTCCAGCAATTAATGTGTCTTGTTTTTCTAAAGAGGGTGTATGTAATTTCTGCAGTCCTAAAAATGAGAATTTTCACATTAGATTTTTAGGCTACTGAAAATAACTGGACCACCACTAAGAGCAACACACAGCAATGTTATTACTTACTTCATGCATGACCGCATTTACATGAATTTAAAAAGTCCCCGTGAAGTGCACCTTGAAAGCCCGGGGTGTGACCGAGCTAGACACACAATCTAAGGAAAGTTTAACGAATATGAAATTGACTTAAGAGTTTAAACAATTTCAATAATTAATTAAAAAATACTCAACTAAAAATGAAACACTGTGCCAATGGTCAGTCTTTGCTGGGGGAAAGTGTATCAGGTAAGCCGATGGCACTGAATAGCTTCTCACAGTCTAGCTAAGCCGAAGGCTGCAAAGATGATACTTACTCCCGGGCGAAAGTCCTTGTCACAGGGGACCTGACTGGAGCCGGCAGCTCCTCCCACTCTGGCAATGGTTTTATTTCCAGAGGAGCTGGTTTCACTGGTGAAAGAAGACATGCGGTGTTACAGTGGGCTCAGGCTTCCAAACACGCTAGCCGACTTGTTATAAATCATGACAAAGAACTCAGAAATTTGAGGATATTTGACAGTTTAAAAAAAAATCTTTCTTTCCAGGACGGAACTACAGTACTCTGGAGTAGGTTGTCTGTTTTATGTTGTGTAAAAATTAAATGTAGCTGCATCTGGAAGACGGCTCGGTGTGGAACTTTAAACCCACAGAGTTAAGTGTTGTATTTAACCCAGCAGAGGGCAGTAGACCCTTCATGTCGAGTGATGGGAGAATTAGTGCTCTGATTTTTTTTTAATTAAAAATGTTTCAAAGAAGAAAGTTGACAAAATCTAAATAGGTAAATATGAAAGGGCCAAGCGTTTCCAGAAATGACACGGTGACTAAACTGCACATTACACTTTTCACAAGGTTTATCAAAGAAGCAGGAGGCTTGAACTTTCAACTTTTCGCAGGTCAAAAAAACATGCATTCTACATAAACCTATCCAAACTAAATCAAACTTCCATCTGCCCTCCCCCGATCCGTTCTTGATAACTGTCACCATACTGTATGTATATCAACAGAAAAATGACTAGCTATATTGTGGCAGCATTTTGTACACCTTCATGTTCATTCATAGTTAAGTATTTCCTTTAACTCCCCTTACATTTATACTGATTGCCTTTCTGCTTTGCAGCTGGTGCTGAAATGCATCCAATTGCTGAAGCAGATGCAGAGAATACAAATGGCACAGCTGCTCTCCAATGTGACTCATGTACAATCAGCTTGGTTTCGTTAAAAAAACATTTTGAAAGACGCTTGATTCAGATTTATTGTACTTTAAATGACCTAATTTGTTTACTGGTGCTGCTAAAAATGTTTAGTGTGAAGACCCAAATATATCCTGCTTTCATTCAAAATCAGAAATAAATGACTACAATCCAACTAATACATCCTTGCATTATCTGGGTTCTTTGTTTTAGCTTCTGATTTTTCAGTGGCTTATTCTCCTGGTATATTTCTTATAGTGTTTTCGTCTATAAAAGCACACATTTCTTCAGTGCAAAGATGTGAGATCCAGAAGTTTGGGAATACAAAATAAAAGATTATGACCTCATCCTTGTATCTCGGGTAAAGTAAAATGGTCACAGAGACGTTTTGAAACTGATGGAGGGAGGCACAGAAAAATAATAGGCATTATTTTATGAATAATGCTTACAATTTTTACTTTCTTCATGCCCCCACCAATTCAGAATGGCCAGTTCTTAATCAAAATATGTACAATATACCAACAGGAAAAGACCTGAGAAATAAAGACCTAAATGGCAGACCTCAGGGCGATGACTGATATGCCTTTTTTATATTCACCCTGGCATGGACTGTACATCTATACAGTACCTGCAATTTCTGGTGAAAACAGTTGAATTTGTCACACCTATTCAATCACAGGTCAGTTCAAGAGCATAAAATAAGCCATTGAAAAATTAAAACAAAGATTCCCATTGTTTATGTGCTATGACATTATTATACAATTTTAAGAGAAGAAATCTAATTTCTCTATGGTAAAATCAGGCTTTAGGTTGTTGCCTGTGTCCAGGTGATGTCAGTATAAATTAATTTTTCAGTTTATTGGAAAAATGTTTTAGAGGACAGAACAGTCAAGAGTGGGACAGTGCAGTGGATGGCAAGACACAGAAATCAGCCACAGAGGAGGTATCCGTTTGTCTGATTGTCAGAAGAGATAGCTGGAGTGGTACATCCTAAGGTGTGGCCAACTAAATAGGAAAAAGAACAAATCCCAGGACTTATCACCCGTAACTGACCCAAAACATAGAATTATACATACAGACTGTTAATATGTATATTATATCTTTAAATGACTAACATGCCATTGATCTCGATAAGAGATTGTCTTCGAATGCTACTGTTACAGCTGTTGATATATTTATAAATTAAACATGCCGTTATTTTTGTGCACTTTACCATTTGTAATATAGAATTATGAAACGATATGTTCTGAGATTTTTTTCTCTATTTTATTGGTTGTCTCCTGCCCAGGGACTACAGATGTAAATTAGCTTTTTAGATGACTCTGGTGCAGCTTAAAAGCTGTTCACTGTCCCCGTTCAATAAACTAAGTATTGGCGAGTCTTCACTCTTCACAATAACCACAAGTACAGGATTAAGCACACACTATACTATGGCCTATCTTAAAATAGTGTGAGAGATGTTCTATGCAACTGTAAGGAGAAAAATTCTGGATTGTATTTAACATCCCCAATATCCTACATTAAAATTAAATACTCAGTGACACAGATGAGTAAACCAGTTCAGGGACTATCAATATAATTCTAAATATCTAGTCTTTGAAGTTTATGGTTTAAAAAACAGCAGAAGTGCATTAGAAGCTGTCTGTTTCCTTGCCATCATTACACAGCAGTGTAGTATATCTATTATAACAGCTGTAATTTTAATTTGCTGTGCTAATGAAATCAAATCAGTGTACACAATTCAAACAGGGAAATACGTTGTCTCATTGTATTTAAGTAATTTCCACAAACACAGCTAAGTTAAAAAAATGAGCATGCTGCAACAATGGGTAAAATGTAAGAACTATTTAAGATAGTGAGGGGAAAGATGGAATCATAATCCATAATTCCCAGTTGCCATTCCATCCTGGGCATTAGTTAGGCCCAACTTTCTGGACCAATAAGACAGCCTCCTCAAAGACGAGCAAGAAATATAGTGGTTTCTTTAGTTCTGAATTTAGTTTTTCTTTCCAAAAATTATGCAGGTTGGTGCTACACATTGGTGGAGTTGGATGGGAGTCCACATTACCTGTAAAGTGCTTTGAGTGATTGTCCAGAAAGCGCTATGTAAGTGTAATTATTATTATTATTAAAAGTTTATTTTCTATTATAACATTCATGTGATGAGTTATGTTATGTGCAAAACTGAGATATGTTATGAGATCCAATAAATAAGCTAATACACATGACACGCATTGTGAGGAACAGAATTTGTGCGAGCATGAATGCAAACATTTCCTAATATAGTGGCCACACCATTATATAATATTACCATTACCACAATTATATGACTAAACAGGGCTTTTCTTCTTTTACATTTATCTTTTTCACTTGTGGTTTGAAGTATTTGCAAAAATATCAATAAAAATAGCAAAGACAAACATACATAGAGAAGGTTAAGAAATTAATTGGGGGAAAGACTGAATTCTAGCACTTAGAAATAATACAAACAATTTAATGCATGCTTAAGGTTTAATTGAGTTAAAGGCACTGGCAACACAGATAAGAAAAATGAAATGTCCTGTATTATCGGAGCTCTTTGCAGTACATACCCTTACGTCGTCTTGAGAATTCACCTACGGTTTGAGAATCTGTTCGCTCTAAACCAAACGGTTTAGCTCTTACTATTTTAGGGCTCTGACCTGATTGGTAAAAGAAGACTTTCTTGTTATAAATTTTTTGGAACACACAATGACTCTTAAGCCCCCTCCCCATGCAGAACCAGACAGAACAGTGTTCAGCTAAGCAGAGCTCCAGTCACGCCCCCCCCGGCCCCCCCGCAGCGCTCATGCTGATGCAGCGGCAGGTCACAGCTCCCCACAGGCATGCGTTTCAGTCCATGCAACACGCGCTCCGGCCAGCAACGGCCCCAGAAACTGCACTCAGAGTGCTTCATATGTCATGAGAAGGGGAAACGCCCAAAGCGCGATTTAAAAATAACACCAGTGGAATTAAATCTGGTAAAAAAACAAACAAAAAGTAAACCACAGCCAGTCGTTTGTGCATGTATCCCAAAATATTTTAAAAGCCAGCAATTTGGTTATTGGATTGAAACACATTTCCTAATCCCCCCTCCCCCTTGCCCCACCACAAAAAAGGGTCTTGTGAATCTAAATATTAATTAGAGCAAAAAAAAGAAAAAACTGAAGAAAGCCACCTTCAACCAAAAGTAGCCACCAACCCCCCCCTCCCCAATTAGCTCAGCAGATCAACCGCACTTGCATGACATCCCACAGAAACAAGCAAGAAAGGCAGGAGGCAGCTTGGACTCAGCCCCCTCACACAGAACAGCTCAAGAACAAGCTCCAAGCCCACAATCTCAAAACAATAACACACTACTCGCCCCACAAGAGGCCACTCACACACCGAGAGAGAAACCACAGGTAAGTCTGGCGTGAGAGCAGAGGTCACTTACAGAGACTGAGCTTACATTACATTAACATAGATGAAAAGAGATCATAGAAATGAAAGATTTATGAATGACAACATTACATTTATAAAGTCGGTGCCTGTCCCATGGTTATGAAAGCTGAACATTAGATGTGCGTGTATACTGTAAATACCAGATCGCATCGGGTAAATACCCAAGGCATAGAGCCAAATGTGGACTCAGTGGTATAGATTAAAGCTTCTATTACTGTGGCATTTTTTAGCACAACATACGCAACACAAAGACAAGAGAGAGATGCAAGGCTGCCATACATCTCCATGATTTTGTGATTTCTTGTGCTCAGGTTAACACTTGCTCCTTCAGCAAAAGTAAAGAAGTGAGCGGGCTCCGCAGCACAAATGGTGATCCTGCATGATCCTTTCACACAGCCAATGGACAATGTGAAAAACCTCGCTTCCTACATTCATTTAACCGGCAAAGCCACAAAATGGTGAAATCCAATTAAGGCTGGCCTAAGTAAATACTCACTTTAAAGGGACACTTTAGTCCCAAATTCTCAGAACAGTTAATAAATCTCGGTAACAAAATAAATTAATCGATGGTTTGGCAAAATTCACTTTGTGATAGTACTGTATAGTCGCCCTGTTGTTGCAAACCCCTAGTCTCACCATGGGTGAGAGTGAGAGTTTGCGCAAATTGTGACGTGATGCAGTCCTTCCTGCTCACTAGTCACTGTAATGACTAATGTAACGCGATGCATGAACAAATAAGTAAATAAGGTTGTGCAGCAGACATTTCACCACAGAAATGATCCAACATGATCTCCAGGCAGGGTTAAGAAATAAGTTGCATATGTCGGCAAAACCAACTTGAAGCCAAGAGCGATATTTCTATTGGATGAAAGGAGATGTATTCATAACCCTGCTTGTTTAAAACATAATAGGGCCGGTTCAGCTCACCAGAGGTTTGGTTGCCTCGTTCTGAGTCACAGAATATGGAGTGACGCATACCTGGAAATTTAGTCTATATTGTGATGTAAATTGGAGGTTTTACACATTACTGTGTAAATTTTACTTTCATTGTGGTTTGAAATGCACTCATCAATGCTGATTATTTCTAACCTTGAAATAAAAAATAGCATTACAGTTCCTTCTTTAAGTATCAAGGTGCAGGTTTCACTTTGCACATTTACTGCATTTTCAACAAAGAATGCACTTCAAACTGCAGAACGATTACAGTGCAACATTCTTAACTCAAAGCTACCATTTCCACGGTTACTCCCTGTCTCACACAGTATTCCCCCTCAGGCATTATCTTTGTGTATACTGCAGCACTAAAACCCAGACATACCCAAACTTTCAGCTCTCCAGACCAGCCAAAATGGACGCCATTCAGATAAAGGCAACCTGATCTTGCCTTGCCAATACATGATGATAATGTATTTATATACTGTGGGTTTTGGCATTCATAGGCATGTTTTACTCCAGGCAGAAAAACAAAAGCATAAAAACACCTGTGTAGAATAAAAACTTAAAATACAAAGCTGTGGCCTCAAAAATGATCTGGTCTATATTGCTAAAATAAAAGAAATTGGGGGGGAAAACTACATCTTCACTTTAAGATGTTGGAGCAATTGGTCAAAGGTAGGCACTGAATAGACAGAATTTGGTATATAAATGTGTTTTGAATACACAAACCGCTAGATACATTTACAAATGGCCAAAACAGACAGAGAAGCTTAAACCATGCTGAATAAAGTCTACATTTGGTCAGTCACTGCTATTACAATATATGTAGAAGAGGCTTTATACTGTCAGGAAAGAGATTCATAAGGCATACAGTTGTACGTTTTTAATGGAGTTGATATTAATTCTGAAACAAAAATGTAATTTGTTAAAAACATCTATAATGAAGACATTCTCTGAAGCTTGCATATCCATTTTTGTTTTGATTTTTTTGTATGTTTTGGTGCAAAACTTTAAATGTTTCTCAATAGTAGAACAGTACACTATATTAAAAAATTATTGTGACTAGGAAATTAACTTTACAAAAGCACCTAGTTTCATATGCACATTCCTCTTTTGCTGTTTGAAACAATTTCAAGTACTCACTGGAGTTAGAAAGTAATAGCTTGAATCAATCCAGATGTAATGACTGATAAGGATCAGAACTTTAGTTAGTCTAACGCTGCAGTTTCCCTGTGAACAAGTTTCTGTGCTGTGTACTACTTTTTATGGAAAAATAATTGAAGAATAGCAGGATCAATTTCATAAAGCAGAAATGTGTTGTAACTAAAATACCTCTTAAAAACATACTAGTAAAAAAGTTTAAATATCTGAAAAACAGTTGTCCTATTCTGATCCGCTGCATATTGCTGAAACAAATCACCCAGCCCTGGAATTACAAGGATGATGGAGCTCATTTAAGTTCTACTTCTTCCGAGATGCCTCCTCTATTCACTGAACTGACTGACTTCTTAATCTTTATTCAGTTTAAAGCACAGGCTCTTGTGTTTCATACAATACAGGAAGTGCAATTTTGATAACGGTTCTTTTCTTGCATGCCCTTCACACAATGGCCTTATTTGAACTGGTGAAATTTAAATTCTCAGGTGCAGTTTAACATCTAAACAAGTTTACAGTATTTTCCTTCCAATAATGAGGAAATAAGGACATAGACTAGTGCTGAATCACATTGGCACCCAGCAACAATTCACGTGTTCTCAAAAGGCTCTTTGAATGAAGGAGAAATAACTCGGTTTGCTCTTTCAAAGCCTCAGATTGCGGGACAAAGCTGCGTACACAAGGAGCTGAACTCTGGGTAAAGGAGGCTTGCAAATGGAAGGCCAGATCAAACCCCTTTCACTGACAGTTGCATAGCAATGTCAGCAAAGAAGGACACCAATGTAGACATGCCTTCTTCTGAAAATTATAATCATCAGTAAAATATTGTATGAAACTAGCTAAGTTCGACAGCTCAGGCTGAACAAATGAGCTGACATTTTATTGCATGGCTGCTAAAAAAAGTCTGGTATTATAGGCTCCAGTCATTTTTTTTATATTCTTAAAAATTCTGTAAATTTTCCAATTTCTTCAAATATTAAGCAAGATGTCCCTAATATACTTATACCCCAGTATAAGAATGTTCGGTATATGAATTTTCTCTAACATGAAGAATTTGTGCCTTATAATTAATTATAAGAACGAAATTGTGCTCGTCCGAACATGAAGAATTTGTGCCTCGAAATTCATTATAAGAATGAATTTTCGCTAATCCGAAATTTGAAGTTCGAAATTGACCGACTTTAGCAGAGAACCTTCTGTGAACAGTATGGTTAAGGATGCCGTGAGGCAGCAGTGTTTTGTTTGCATTAGCAGCGAAAGCTTGTGTTCACATTTTCAAAGTGTTTTTGTGTTTGTCTTGTAGTTGCTGTTCATTATGGGCACTAAGGAAGAGTTTGCTTGTTTGTTCGCTTGTTTCACAGATTTTATTTAATTCTGACTAGGTTTTTTATTTTTATCAATTTCTTTAGCATAATAGTCGACAACAGTTCGGACTATTGCGTTGTTCTAGCCGATCGCTTGGATAGCAATCTATTACGAGATTAATGAAAAATGTAAATATGATATACTTAATTATTTCACAGCTATAGCTGGCTTATTTGAGTAGAACTGCACTGTTCATTAGCTTGCTATAATGGTCTGTGTGGTTCAGAACTGGGTTTTTATTTTTGATTTACGATCTCCTGCCTTCCGAACAGATTTTCAGAAAGGAATTAGGTTTGGATACCAGGGTATGTGTGTACACCCTTCCGTATAGCATTACTCTGAAACTTTGTCAACTACAACGAGATGAAAAGATGCTCCTAACACTATAAAAATGAATAAGTTAACACACATGGGCAGGCACGACCTCCACAGACCAGAAAGACAACAGGGAAATCACGCGAGCAGGGACAGAGAAAGGGAAGGAAAAGACAGATGAAGCCTCGCTCCTCTCCCCTCAAGCACCAGCACTCACGCCCACTCACCCTTGCGGTCCGGTTTGAGGTTGCGGTCGACAGGCGGCGGCTGGCAGTCGCTGATGAGGACGGGTCTCCGGGGGGGTGTTTTGGGGCTGGAGCGAAAGCCCATGTGCGCCGGCGGAGGGACCTGCTTCCCCAGCGAGGGGAACTCCATGGTGACGGGCGTCATGTACATGTAGTTGGGCTCCTGTATGGGCTCGGACAGGCTGCCGGAGTGGGAGTGGTGATGGGATGGGGAGTTGGCGTCCATGGCAACGTAGTTGGCATCCACTTCCTCAGTCGACGTGCTGCCGACCGGCATCATGCCTTTTTTTCTCTGCGTTTCAAAACAACACAGGGATGAAAGATGCAAACAGGTGCATTTTCACCTAGCCAGACTCTAACACTAGGCTTTTACATGTATTTATTACAAGCCAAAATCCAAAATGAGCTTCTTCCTGAAACCGAGATGGCCCTTTCTTTCATAGTATAGAGCAGGGTTCTCTCATCAATGAGGGTTTTGTCGCATCCCGACTTCAGGATTAGAGACCCCTGCTCTAGAGGATCATTTGACCACCTAAAGGAAATTTATCTATAACCAAACAATATAAGGATGGGACACCCTCACTCTTGAATTGAATTGTAAACCTAATTTCATCATTAGGTATTTGACTAATGTATTAGTCAGGCCTAATGTATTTGACTACACTATGATCACTGCTGGTTTACTGTCCTTTTTTGTTTTGCAGTCAAAGAGAAAGATGGTAAACGTAAACTATTTCTAAAAATGGCAAATGAAGAAAAAGCAAGCTCTCCGTTTTAAGTACTCATGATGACCACACAATATAACAAAAGCTTTCCATATGAACTTACGAGGTAACTGTTGAAGCTTTCATTAAGATCAAGCGAACTGCTTCTGTCTGTAGCAAATGGTCTAGGGATGTCGTAGAAATCTTGAGAGCCATAATCTGTAAAATACAAAGAGACAGAAGGGGAAAACCTCTGCATCAGTCATGTGATGTAACTTGGACTTTACAACTACTTTTACAAAAGAACATCAACCTTAAAATGAGTTTATTTTCTGACAATAACAAATTGCCTATGTCTATTTTACACAAAGAAGTTTAACATCAGATAAAATAAAAAGATGTACAGTTGGTAAAAAATGCATTAATATTTAGAATTATAAACTTGAAAATACATACATTAGAACAAATTATACTACAGCATACCCAAATAAGTTCAGGTACACAAAATTACTTTGATACACAAAGTGAATCACATGATTCTGTAATACCCCTGTTACCATGTTACAAAAAGATATTGCCGAAGTGAGCAACCTGATGCATTCCAGGACTTAAAGAAATGCCCAGCATTGACATTTTGAAAAATTCCAGAATTTTGAGTTCCTTTATGGGTTCCCTCCTAGTTCCTTCTCTTCAGGCCTAAAAAGATTTAGTTATTTCAGCGCCTTTTTACAGTATAGTGTCCCCCTCACTATACTAGGCCCCTCTAACACCTCTTCCAGCATCAACCTTGGTTTTTCCCAGACTTTCCCCAAGTTAGAGGCATACACAAAACATATTTGCAGCTGTAACTGTAAGATACCAAAGAAGTTTCCATAAAGTATTGATTTGGAAGCCTGGATACTTCTGCAATCAACATACTGTAGCTTTTGATTTTCCCTTTGCAGCTTTTGCTAATATGCAAAGGAATTATGAAAATCAAAACAAGTAGTATGATTCCGTAATCGTACAAAATTCCATTGTTGTGGTATGGACACTACTAATTATACTGTGCTTCACCGCTTTTCTAAAAGAAGGCACATCTTTTCAGTCTCCGTGCATGTAAGTACAGTTTTTTTCTCATATTCCCCTGCCAGCAGTCAGCACATGACATACAGTTTAACATATAGCTTAGATGTGCCACGGGATCATTATTTGATTTTATTTTGCAAGGCGTGCATACAGAAAACAGATATTTTGTATGTACAAGTACTTTGCAGAAGTATTCAGTCCCTTCCAGTGATGTCCCTTCTCTCAAATTACAAATGAAATATACAAGCCTATCGCAAGGGGCATGGGAGTTCATAGAAAAAACAAAAGGTGCTATCATTTTTCAGCACAGGGTTCTCTGGAGTTCACAAAGTTGAAATGAAGACAATGGATAGCACATTCCACAGGCTAAACAAATACACACAGAGATGAACAGTATCATCTGCATGTCAATAGTTGGGGCTGGTGTCACAGAAGCCTCCCACCCTTCTCAAACAGTGTGGAAGAGTCAAAACAAAAGCCCCTTCAGTTCAAACATACTTCACAAACGATTACTAATATATACACACACATTTCAAAATACTTTTCCTTTTTCTAAGATGTAGGTCAGGATGCCTATTATACATGTATTTTATGGAAATGGAACATTTGGTTGACACTAACCTCCTAACCTCTAGATGCTCAAGAAACAGGCTGTCAGTCATCCCTCAACCTTGTTTTACGGGTTTGAATTTCTGTTACCTAGCTTACCACCAAACAAACACTCATACCCAAAAATACAGTAATACACATATTACACATATGTCCATATCTCCACCTGCCACCTAGACATCTGCTGGGAGACATGCTCTTTACAGTTGTAGCATAGTTTTCTTAACCCATAATTGTAGGCAATGTCAGCCTTCGCATGTCTGTAACGGTAGTGTGAGGGTTTTTTTCTTTAAAGAAAATATTTGTAATAAAAACTTAAATGCTTTAACGAAACACATTTGGGTGAAAGAAGTTAAAGGCAAACAGGTTGCTCAGTTATTTTAAAAACCTTCAAATGCGGGGTGGCAAATAAACCAAGTGAATGCAATCTTTACCTTTAGGTTCCAGACTTCATTATGTTATGAAACGTAATATAATTATAAACGTAATAATATATTTTATGTTGTGACATTTAGATACTTTCTTCTGTATTTGCTATACCAGATCTACATTTTAAAACAATGGAGGTTCAGTTTTGCAAGCTGCTAAAAAAAATTGTCAAATATTCTAGGAGGTCAATTTTTCCAGCTTTTCACTACTTTTACATAAATTGTGATTATGATGACTGTCGATTTTGATAATTCACAATGCTTTGGCAAAGCACTAACATTTTCACTTCATTTCCACATCCAACTACTAATTTCCCAAGCATCATGTGCTACAGTGAGTATATGAGCTGGCTAGTTTCACTTCAGGTGCTTGTGAAGCAAAAGCATTTTTATTTCAGAAATCAAACCAAATGTTCATAGACTTCTCATAGACTTCTATTACATACAAGATTATGGAAACCATAAATAAAGATTAATTAGGATATCTAAATGGGAATACTATTCTAGTGGACAGTCAACATCTAGAAAGTATACAAGTAATAGGTTTATTCCATGGTAAAAAAAGAAGAGAGAAAAAACAACGTTTTGGCCGTGGAGCCTTCTTCAGGTGTGAGAGACAAGGCAGTAGGCAAAGGTAATGCAGTGGGAGAACAAAGGCTGGGAGGGAGGAGGAGTGAGAGGCGGGAGCAGGGGACAGAAAGAGAGGCCAATCAACAGGTGTGAAGTCAGGATAGGTGTAGAGAGGTGTGAAATGAAACTTCCAATGAATGGAAAAAATTTAGTAGAATGGTAGTCTGTCGTTAAGGGAAGGTGTGATCCTAGCTGCAGGATAAGTTTGGATTCGGTAGTCTTTCTGATGTACTGTATGAGTTCAGAAAACCATCTTTGAGAACACAGACGGAGAGATTAGAGTGGTCGTGGCCGTCAGAGGTGAAATGAGAAACAATGGGCTTGGGCTTAATCTTCACAGCCCTGACGTGTTCTCTGAAGCGGTCTCCAAGTCTCCTTCCTGTTTCTCCAATGTAGAGAGAAACTGGGCATTTACTGCAAGAGATACAGTAAATAAGGTTGCTGGAGGTACAAGATGCCATCTGGGTGATCCGGAATTGTCCTGAGGGGCCTTGAATGAGTGTGTTGTTCGATGTGTACTTGCAGGTGATACAGCGAGCTCTGTTACAAGGGAAAGTGCCTGGTGTGGATGGTTGCTGAGGGCGGTCAAGGGAGCTGTGAACAAGAAGGTTGTTCTATTCACAGGTTGTTCTATGAATCTAGAAAGTATGTCTTGCTTAACTCAGGTCTTAGAGTTCTTTGAACATACACTACCAATAATGAATACCATGCACATGGAATATTTAGATATTAGGAACACTGCACCTCCTAATTTTTATTAATGATGTGGATTCTGGTATAGTGTGAACAGTCAGGTGTTCTAACAACTCATGCCAAATGAGTTGTATTAGCAAATACTGCAGAAGCTGCAAACGGAAACTACTAATGCACTATTACTATTAAACAGCCTGCAGAATCTGGATAAGAAAACCACAGGTATTTATTTTACACTTCAGGTTCATCGTCAACGCAATGTGGGAAAACTTAAAAACTACAGACAAAACGTTAGGATTTGTAGTTAAAGGCAGAGGGGCTTTATGCTAATATCGTACAAGGCACCACATTTAGAAGTTAGTGCTCAGTTTTAGCTACCATGTTCCAGATAATCTAACTGCACTGGAATAAGTCCAGAAAATAGCCAACAGATGCATTCCTGAGCTTAAAGGAATGTCATACAGTGACAAGTTAGAAAATATCCACATGAGCGGAGTCAAGCAGCCTCCTCTTGTCTGTAAGGGGGATTTGGTAAAAATATTGCATTTTACCAAGGCAAAAGCACAAAAATAACACTAATATAACCAATGATGTTATTTCTAAATGATGCTCCTTCCCTTTAAAGAACCAAGGCTGTTGTTTTAAAATCAATCCACATCAGTTAAACAATGAAAGCAGCTAGTGATTAACGTTATTGAACAGCTCAACTTTAAGAATACTGTGCCACCACCAGGAGTCAGACAGGTACAGAGCAAAATTGTTCAGCTCAGAAAACAATACCTTGGTTACAAAGCTGAAGTGTAATTTGTTTTGATTGCACAAGCCGCTGGAAAAAAGTACATAAAAAGATTTTTCAGTCTAATATATGAATAGTCACTTAATATGGACACTTTTTTCCTCTAGATATTGGAAATCTCTATTTCACTGGGAGCAGTGTAAGCTGCAACTGGGAATCAATCACAATGTAGTCTTACAGTCAAGTCTGGATGTAGAGAGAAAGAAAAAACTGGCAAATTGTTGAAACCGCAGTCCTAGAATGAAACAGCACAGACCACATTTAAAGACCTTCAGTTTTGCACCAAGACCATATCATGTTACTTTTGTTTTGTTAAAACGTTGTTTTGACTCTCAGATTCTTCTGATCAGCACAACAATCCTCCAGTTTTTCAGAGGAAAACCTCAGACTGCTGTTCTTCTGGGGTGACAGAAGATGTGTTTAACCACCCTGAAATGGTCAAGGACCTCCAGCATGCACGCAAGCTTCTTTTACTATATTTCCGTGGAAGATATTTCATTAGCAGGCATATCCTGAAGCTTTCTCATTACCATGAGCTTCCATTAGGCCAGTGGTTCTCAAACTGTGGTACGCGTACCGGCAGTGGTACGCGGAGTGCTGCCAGGTGGTACGCCAAATGACCCTGGAACTGTGTCGTGTGGGCTGAAAAAATCGGGACGGGTTTTCATATTTTGTATTTTTATATGTGTCGAAAAGGCAGCCTACGTACTACGATACAGTGCGTGCTAATACTTCAGTGGACACAAGAGATACTCTGTAATTCTATACCACTCTATAGGAATGTGTGCTACAGACGCAAGTGACCAATTTTATTTAAAAAAGCTACTGTATCTCCAGCAAATAGGGAGGTAGGAGAATGTGCGTGATTTTGGAACAATGCCAACGTTGTAAACACAGGAAAGCATAGAAATGCCTACTACGGTGCTATGAGAACACGATCAGAAAGGCTGTCAGTGCCACCTGACAGGTGATTACCTCATCAGCGCTGGATACTCTGTACCCTGTCTGGTGCTCTGTCATTGGGTTAAAACCCTGAGAGGATGAGTGCATATCGCACAAAATCCGCCTGTCTGTGTTTAATCCAGCAATCTGCCTGACTCTTCCAGAGCTGTCCAACCCCACTGTGTGGCAGGACCCGAATCTCCTCCAGAATTCAGAGTGCTGTACAGCAGCTTGAACAGCACCGTCTCTGCTCTTCCCATCTGCACAGCACCTCTGCAGCTCTGCCCGTCTGCCCAGCGCATCTTTCACCCTGCCTATGCACTCGCTTTCACCTGGAACAGGCGATTCGATTCCTCGGCCTGTTTCCTAGCTGACGCTTTCCCCAGGTCAGCGCCGCGGCATGATGAAATGAAGGAATACAAATTGAACACAGTCATCTCCAGCTTAAACTGGTCCTTCTTTTAGTCCAGTACATCTGTATCAGAGAAGAATCACTGCAGAACATTAGTGCATCAGCTTGACGTTCTTTTCTCCAATACACATCATCAGTTTAGGAAACAGAAGGTTGGGCCAAAATGTTGAGATGCATCAGTGTTGAAACTAATATGTTGTATACTATTTTCCACTAAAAACTGAAAAAAAGAAAAAAAACAATGTAGAGTTTTCTTCAGGTGTAGTAACAGGCTCCTCCACAAAACTTTTTCTTCTTATTTTTCACTGTGATATTACCCTCATTTTGTTCCTTCCTGTAAGTCAACAATACAGACCAATACAGCAGATCCATTCATTCATCAAGCTGGTCCAGGTCTTTCCCTATGTCTGTAGACATTATGCTAACACAGTGGTTCTCAAACTATTGTAGGAGTGCCGCCAGGTGGTATGCCATATGACCCTAGAACTTTGTTGTGTGCACTGAAAAATTGGGACAGGTTTTCATATTTTCTAGTTTAATAAAATTAGTTTGTGTCGAATACGTGATTTTGGAACAATGCCTATGTTGGAAATGCAGGAAGGCATAGAAATGTGTATTATGAACTCTGGCAATCTTGTGAGCACAGGAAAGCGTGAAAAATATTTAAGAACTGTTCTAGATTAATTTGAGAAAAATATACCGTGCGTCTGTTTCGCTCCCATGCGCATGAAATAAAAACTTCTTTTAACTTCTGAGACAAACTCCTGAAATGGAAATGGGGGGAAAAAGCAAACTTGCGGATTGCTAAAGCAGGTAAGCGCCACACTACTTGTGAAGAACTTTGTTTACCATTGGCAAAAGAGCTGACACTTATTATGTGTGGAGAAAAGGCTCCTAGACAGCTCGACCTGCTGCCCCCTCTGAAAGACACAGTCACTTTTAGAATTATTGATATGGAGGATGTTACGACCCCAAGTGTCTAGGGGTAAAGGAGTGAAACATTTAGGATAATTCTTTTGGAAGCAGGTTGGTTTTGGTGAGGGACTAGGAAGCGTGATAACAAGGGTAAGGAACTAAAGTGGTGCCAAAGGAAAGAAAATAAACAAAACGGAGCTGGCTAGGACAGTGAGGGAAAGGAAACCCGAAACACACGGTCTTCGGCGTCTTCAACACCCTAACTAACCTCCACTGACTACCCAAAACCATACAAGACAAATGGCACTCACCTGTACTAAACTAGTGTACTAATACAAAATCAACTAAGTGTGCAGAATGTACCCAACAACCTAAACTAACCTTAAACACAAACGTTCACCCAAAAACACAAGGGAACCAGGAATACAAATAAGGGAAAACAAGAGTAATCAACAGGAACAGGGTACAAAAGAACACAAAAGTTGAACATGTAACACGTTAGGGCACGGTAAAACACAAACAAACGAACAAAAACCAACAAAGCCAAAGCTATACGAAAATACACACACACACAAAGCAAAACAAAACAAACCAACGAAGCCGAAGCAATAACCAAAAGCAAAGCAAAGCGATAACCAAAACCAAACGGGACCGAAGTCAAACGAAAGGCCTCTTCCTTCAGAAAACCTCCATGTATATGCTGAATAAGATGTGTTCTGATTGGCTAAGAGCTAATTGATGATGACATCATACTGAAACAGTGGTGTGATGGTGAGCCAATGGGGGAGGGAGAACAATCAAGGATCAGCAGTGTGGAACATAAAAAAAAACACACACAGACCACACACTGGGACGTAACAGCGAATGATATCAAAAGTACGCAGACAGAGAGCGTTAAGATAAGCAGATGCTTTTAACTCCTATGAGATGAGTTTGCGTTGGAGTTTCTACAGATGGTGCTAGAGCGATGACAGTCCGACACAGCAGTGTAGTTGCACAAATTAGAGAGGTTGCTCCAGAAATAAAGTGGACGCACTGCAGCATCCACCGCGAGGCCTGGGCCGTCAAGAAAATGACGATTCAAAATCTGTTAGACTCTGTTGTGAATTAAGTATCAAGGCTCAACCAATGAATTCACATCTGCTTTGCCCAACTAAAAAAGGCTCACCCCTCTCACTGAAATGGTGCTTTTTTATTGTTTATTTTTAATTGTTGTTGTTGGTCCTGTTGTCATTCTGTAAAGCACTTTGAGAAGCCACCTTTAAAGGCGCTATATCAAATAAAGTTTATTATAATATTTATATTATGTGTATGAGTGCACGCACTGAGATTTTCTGGAGCTCCTATGAGAAGATGACTTGTAGGTGGTACTTGGATGCTTTGGTTTGATCAGGGGTGGTACTTGGTCCAAAAAGTTTGAGAACGACTGTGTTAACAGATTAATCTTTTCAGCAGAAGCCCTAATTGGAAATTGTCCAGTCCAAAGTAAACCTTGCATCTGAGCATCCAGTACAGAGAGGAATGTACACCAATGAAGGAGTGACTGCTAAAAGCTAAATAAAATAATTTTCAAAAATACCACTGCCTAGAATGAAACTTGGTCATTTCAGTTTCTCTTTTAAAAAACTAAATGGACTGACATTTTATTTAAGCAACTCCAGTAAGTGGTAGCTTAGTGAATTATGTAATCACAAGACAAATACAAAAGGACACAGCCCTTTTGCTAAAGGGCCCATAAAGTATTTTTTTTCCATCTGGCTACATTTCAGATGAATCGGAAAGACATTCAGATGTACAGTAGATGTAAGCCTGCAGCACTCATCATTTTCACCATCCGATGAACAAGTACTGTTTGCGATCCTGACCATGACAAAGTCCATGTTTCTACCCAATTTGTGGCACCGATTTATTTTTATCTGACTGGACTGAGTGTCCTAGCACCTTTCATACACTCTGCAACTCACAACTGGCAGCACACTGAAGCTAAGCAGGTGTGAGCCAGGTCAGTACCTGGATGCGGTCCATGCAAGTCCTAATGCCCCAGTGTAGTGATGGGGACACTATACTGTAAACAGACGCTGTCCTTTGGATGAGACGTAAAACCAAAGTCCTGACTCTCTGTGGTCATTAAAAATCGCAGGGCGTTTCTCGAAAAGAGTAGGGGTGTAACCCAGATGTCCTGGCCAAATGTCCCATTAGCCCTTACCAATAATGGCCTCCTTATAATCACCCTCTATTTATTGGCTTCATTACTCTTATCTCCTCCCCACTGATAGCTGATGTGTGGTGAGCGTTCTGGCGCACTATGGCTGCCATCGCATCATCCAGGTGGGGCTGCACATTGGTGGTGGTGGAGGAGAGTCCCCATTACCTGTAAAGCGCTTTGAGTGGAGTGTCCAGATAAACACCATTTAAATGTAAGCAATTATTATTATTAATTAAACTGAAATGAAGTCTGTGGTTATGTTTGTCACATTTACAGTACCCAAGACCATAAAAGGGGCATCTTGCTCTTTTATGAAGTTACTTTTAATTTTCAGTTTGAGTAACACTTTGAAAACTATGGATCATGTGGAAGAATAGATCTGGGGACAGGGTAAGTGATATGAGTGGCCAATACATGTCTGAGACAACACAAACTTCCTTAAACTTAAACTTGTCTGCTCACGATGAAGCTACACAAATGCTAAAGGAAGGAACTTCATTGTAGCCTTGGATTTTTCCAACAGGGAAAAATGCTATGCAGTGCTATCAAACACAAAAGTATTTTAGCACCCAAACCTTAACACGAATATCTAAATTAGGAAAAAAACATCTCTGTATATCCCCCAATCAGTGCTGAAGCTCCTGAACTGAAACTACAAAAAAAAAACTACAGTATCAACTTTAAACAATAACTAAAAACCCAACCTATTTCACCTCATCCAGTGCATGTCATGTCATCTGAATGTGGTCTGTATTGCTGAAAATCAGCTTTTTTTCTCAGGGTATAAAAAGATTCTGGACCATCCATCCAAAACAGCGTGCTTATTAAATAAAGCTTCCTATAAATTTCCATCTTTAGCTCAATTTCAGTACAGAGAGGCACCTCGACAAACCCACTTCGCATGCCAGTGTGTTTGAGGGCCTTTCTGAGGGCAGCTAACCATGAGCAGTGCTGAGCAAAATTCAGAGAGACTTGAGACAGGACTCCTGGTAGCAGCTAAGAGGGAGGTCGCTCAGACTGACCTTTCCACAGGCGCGAGTCCATGCTGGCGATGGTGTTGCTGCGTAAAGACTTGCTTCCTGCACTGGAGGGCACGGAGTAGTTATTGTCCATCTCGGAGGCAGAACGGGGGGCGGCATAAGTTTCTGTAGGGGAACGTTCAGAAGGGGCAGTGAGGGAGGGCTTTGGGGGCCGAGGAGGGGGTACTTCCGGTAGGGAGGAAGCTTGTCCTACCACAGCACCTTCAGGGCAAGATGTCCTGGGGATCTGGTATGTGGCGCCCCCGCCTGGGGTGGGAGGAATGTCGTAGCTGATGGAGACCTGCCTCATCTGCATCTCCACAGAGGATTTGCGGGAGGGCGTGTTGAAGACGTAGACTTCCGCCCCGGATTCGGGGTCCTGCACAGGAGGCGAGGAGGCAGCCTTGGGCGCCAGCACCGTTTCCTGGGAGTAGCTGCGCGGGAGGCTGTACAGGCTGGACTCCGCGGAGAGGGAGGCGCTGCGGGACGTGGGCGAGTCGTAGAGGCAGGGCGGCTGGGGAAAGTAACCGTTGACGGAGGCGTGTTTGGAGGCAGCGGCGGCCGGGGGCTTGTGCGCGGGAAGGTTGTCGTTGCAGTCCGTCTCTGAGGAGGTGGACTTGGACGAGTCCGCGTGGGGCCTGAAGAATGCAGCACCAGAGGAGGGGGGGGGGGAAACACAAATTAACTCACAGCTAGGTCACAGGTAGTGGAAAGTTCTTGTTTTAGCAAGCAAGCAGGGTAGCAAAATGAGCAATCCTTTGATCTTATTTAATCTAATATTTCATCTATTCATTCACATCATTTAAAAAGAACCTCATATTATACTTTCAATGTATTAAAATGTATTAAAAGACCTGTGAAACAAGATAAGAAAATGATTCCTGTAAAACAGAAAAACAAAATACAATTTTTGGGGAGTGTTGAATACAACCATCTTAGTCCAACCTTTATGCAACTTCCAAAAATAAAAGCTCTGTTAACGCACTGCTATTTTCCATCATAAATTTGGAGAAAAAAAAAAGTGAGCCACCTCACCATTATCACCTCTTAAAGCTGAAGACACAAACTTTGCTCAGGCAATTATAGCACAATTAATAACAATTATAAGAAATCCTTGCATTGCATGGCACTTTTCCTCTCAAAAGTTCTCAAAGCACTTAAAATACAGAAGAGAGATACCTTTATTCATCCCTGCCAGGCAGCACTCACATCAGATGAAGTAATTTCTCAGCTCTTTACCAACTGAACTATAGAAAGAAGGTCCACCAACACCACATACAGCAGAAGCCTGACCATACTTGCAGGTCCTCCAGAACTGCCCAGGCCCTTTCTTGCTTATCTTATTTGTTATAGATGAGGTTGTAGGTGTAGATCATGATGCAAGATGGTAATACTGTACTTCACAGGATAAAACTTTCACTTTGACATATTTGACAATGTAACTGAGAACATGCATGAAAAGATCCAGATATAATTCACAGGCTTTTATCTGTTCCAACTCTTATCACAGCTCAAATGAAAACCACCCGTGCACACTCTCCCCTGGTTATGTTTTTACATTAATTTTCAAACTGCCGTCTTGTTTCGAAATCCACACGTGCAAAAACAAACCACATGCAGCCAGAACAGCAGGGAAACTAAACCTGAGTCTTAAATATTCAATCAAGCGAGACAGAGATGTTGAGAGACAAAAAAACCAAAGATTGCGCCATTCAACACACTTCAATGCAACAAACAAGAGCGAGCGGGGCTGGTACAAGAGCACACGCTGGGGAGAAGAGTGAGCAGAGGTTAGTGCCTAAGACTGTGTCCAGCAGCAGCATGCTTGTGTTCAGCACAGCGCATGGCCACACTCACAGGCTGGCTGAGGGAGCCTTTTTGCTCTCGCACTGCTCAAGGAGCAAGTACTCTTCGTCGCCTTCTTCTGTGGCGAAAGACGAGGCTAGACTAACATGCAGAAAAGGGAAAGAGATTCGGAGATGAAAGTGAAGCAGGGCTTTTTGAAAGGTAGCACAGGAACACAGACAGTCATCACATACGACACGTTACTAGGCTGGGAAAATTGTTCCCCAGAAAAAAAGATAGTAAAGGTACAGGGGAAAAAAGGGAACTAAACTGAGATGACATGCTATGAAACCATTTTTTCGAATACAGCTCTCACGGTTAAATGCCATTTTACTTCTCTTGAGTACACACTTTCATTGCCTTTGTAACAATCATGTAAGCAAGCGGATTCCCCTCTGCTACTGCACGTAAGCCAAGCGTGACGCAGCACCTCACCTGGCGGGCTCAGGCTTCTTGCTCTCGCAGTTGGACAGCCACAGGTAGTCCATGCTAGTCGAGGGCTCCAGGTGGCGGATGCTGACGGGCTGATAGGGTGGAGGCACACTGCTGATGGGTGAGGCATCCATGCTGGGCAGGCTAGGCTGCAGTGGTACATCCACAGACATACTGCTGGATGGGTTTGAGGGCTTCACTGAGTCTTAGGAAAAACAAGAAATAAAACATTCCTTTGAGGTGGTATGGTATTACACAAGAACAGAAAGGTTATAAATCATGAGGAGTCCATTAGGCACATCTAGCTTATTTGACAGTTAGTAGCTACTTGATCCAAATCCCAAAGCTCAAAATGCAAAACAAATCATGCACAAGCCTACAATTTGTACCTGTCACAGTAATACGCCTCTATGGACCTTACAAATAAAATTGGCAACTATGAAACAACAGATGTCACTCTAAGACTGAAATTGTACTTGAAACTATGAAGAAGTGAAGAGGGAAAAGCAGATTTAGAGATGTGCATTAACTTTTCAATATCCTTCACTACAAAATAATATCCATAGGGGCAGTCTGAGATTCTGATGCAGATTAACTGAAATGCTTACAGAACTCCTGACCTATGGGAAAACTTCATAGCTGTATTAGGTGAAAGCTGCAGATTAGTGCTTCCACGGTTATTTGCTTTGTTTGCCATCTGTGGTCTCCTATGATGCGATTCAGCAGAACCTGCTGAGGTGTCACAGATGCTTTTAATTAAAAATCTGGCTCTGTAAAGGGCTGACCACAGAGGACAAGATACACACCTTCGAAAGAATGCAAAAAGAGTTATATAGCCAGGCTTCTCTCTCAACCTTATCCATAAAAATTACATTTATTTAGATATTTAGCTTCAATCTAAGCCCTGAACTAGAACTCTAAGGTCCATGCTTCCCAGGGTTGCAAGATGTTCAAGGCCACATATTGTCCAGATGGAAAAAGCCCCCACATGCCTGGAGTACTGAATTATTAACCAAATCTTACCTTGTCCTTCTATCAGCATACCCATCTTTTCATAGAAATCATGTTACACAGCAAGGAAAGACACTTCTGTGGTTTCAGCACTGCACTCAACCAAATATTGCACACCTAAAATGACCTCAGACCCCTATCAAACCATACCTAAGATGGTAAGCATCAAATAATCCACCTAAAAAACATCTTCCTAACTCGCATACCTAGACAAAATACAGTATTCCGAAGATAGCCTTGGCTGTCCACAGAACAGTTCAGCATCCTTGCTGCAGTATTTCAAACTTTACACTCATTCTAATAACAACAATAGGAAAAGGCGCTGGAGGTCATGGAAACCAAACGTAAAATTTAACAAGAAGCCAGTAAAACTAATTTCATGATTTGAGGCATCCAAAAAACTGAGGACCCCTTGTATCACTCACGCATTTTAAATAATTCCTGTTAAATAACCACAGTTTCTATCAACAACTTGTGATATTAAGATTGACATTTGTGCCACTGAGCCTGCTCTGTGTCACATCTATTTGTTTTTAAGTGTTCATTATTTTCCCTGTCAAAAACCAATTAATCCCACACAGCGTTTCCTCAAGGTCTCGTCGGTGTTTTCATTCCAGGGCTGTTACGTGCTGCTCTCTATTCAGCGGCGCTCTCCCAGCGCACATTCTTCACGATGCAGAGCGCCTGTGACTCACTCTCGCAAAAGCACTGCCATCTCAAGGACAGGCAGGCAAGCAGGCAGGCCAGGGTCTCTCTGTTCACTTGTTTTCTGTCTGAATGCTGATTCACGCTAGCAGCGGGAAAATCCCCTTCTCTTAATTCCCTCTCCCCACCCACACTGGCACCAAGGCAGCAGCACCAGGCTTCGTGTCCATCCACAATGGCCTGACATTTACAAAAGCCTGCCGCGTCTGGCTGGGGGCGGGAAGTGGGTTGAAGACTCTAATTATACCCCTCAGCGATCCCCCCCAAGGCCCCTGCCTTTCTAAGATTTTTTTATTATCCATGGGCAATTGAAGAATCACCAAGGACACTCTGGAGGCTTTCCCAATAGCTGAAAGGAGTGACTGATGCTTGCTTTTCAGTGGGGTCAGATTGCATTTAACAGTGTGTCACCTAGCTGTAACTCTAACTGGCACAAGATTATTGTAAATAAAAAAATCCTGGGAAACCAGATGTGCCAAATAGTTACCAATGAAGAGAGCGATGATGAACACTTAAGTTAAATATTCAATGCTTTAACAAGCAGTGCTGATTCTTTTAACTTTCAACATGATTTGATTTTCTTTAAAAGCACTGAAGATCCCAGGTGGCGACACTCTTAACAGTCAGTGGAAACGCAACCCCTGATCTAGAGAGGTCTCTGGAAGCAACGGAATTTTGGTTCCTGCACAGGAAAGAGACTGCTGCCTCTTCAAGCCTCAAGATGGAGGATAAACAATCCCTTTTTATGATAAATGCTCCAAATAAAAAGTTGTGGGAGTGCACTTTAACCTTCACACCATATGTATGACATTACACTGCTCATAGCAAATTCATCTCATGATCTAAAAAAATCTGGTTTTCAAGCTTTAAATCAACAATCTTATCAGATTTTTTTTTAACTTTTTGTGTTACGTTCCTACACTACTTTTTTACCTTCCTTCACTGTTTTTTGTTCTCCTTCAGTGGCATTCAATCTATACACATTAAGCTGTATTTTTCCTTTAATGTTTTTTTTTTTTTTCAGTTTTACAGCATGGGTTACCAATTTAACCTATTCTGGTAAATCTGTCACATAAAATGGTACAGAATTAAAATAATACATGTAAATAATTCAGTATAAAAATTATGAAGCACGGGATGGGATAATGCTAGGAAATGGATCTTAAAGGATGCCTTTTGCCTCATTAGAGGCATTGTTTGCACTATGCAATGTCATTTTAAGCTTTTTCCTGTCCTGGCCTATGTACTGACCAAAATAGGACAGTGCAATGTAGCCTGTTCCTTCCGAAGAGGGTAAATGATTGACTCCGTCCTGGCCATTCGATTCAGATTGGAATCCTGACCTCAAGCTATGAAAGCTGAGACAAATATGCATCTTGCCAGGCATCCCCCTTCAAAGCTCATGGCAACTTTCAAAGGTACCGCTCATACAGGGAACTGAACTTCAGCCTTTACCACACTACACTGTACCTATCCTGCACTGTGCGAGAGACTTAAATGACACTGTACACCCCTTTACTGTAACATATACATTTGTGGCAGCCGTCCATCAAATCCTTTTTCAGTAACAGCATTATGCTTAGATGGTCACTGTTTATTTTTTACTATTCTGAGAAAAGCAGCTTCTATTCACCCCGCAGTTATCAAGTCATGTAAAGGTGTTCAAGGCTCCTCAGTGTTTCTGCAGAAGAAAGCAACAGCGACTTCATTAACAGCTGGTGACGTGCCAAGACACACGACTGGTACCCCATCCTTGTCCACAACACTCCGAGGCAACATTTAAATCTCTGGGCAGGAAATACTGAGGAGCCTGCACTGTTCTATTACTATATAGACTGAAAAAAACTGAAACTGTGATGACATTAGGTACACAAACATATTAAACAAGACCCTTTGAGTATTTTTGTATTAACTGGTAACTGAAGGCCTTTCGAGGACATGGATGGGTTTTCAGTAGTCTGGATTACTGCGTTTCTGGGATGAAGTCCGAGAAACTTATTTAAGCCACACAGTCATGTGATACTTAACAGCACCGATTTGCTTGCCTGTGTCCACAGGATTTGCATGCCCTGTTAGTTTTGAGTAAATGAGCACATACAGCCATGTTGGTGTATCCAGCCAACACAGCAGACAAATTCTGGCATGGTCACAAAACAAACCACAAGAAACGGTGCTCAGTAATTATTTGTGGAGAGCAGAGGAAAGAAAAATGCCCATAAGGAGCCAAGTTTTATCAGCCTAGTTCCTAAATATTTTTGCACTGCATGCCAGTTGAACATCTGAGCCATTTACTATTCGCTACTAGCAAACTGAATTTTATTTTCAGTTAGCTTCTGGATCTAACACACAACTACTCCCTTCGCCGCAGACAGGTTTGAAAGCACTCTCAATTAATTAAGATGCATATTTTCCATTGAGTATAGCAACAAGACTACAGGATTACAAGAGTTGTAAGAAGTGAAGGGCAGCAGTGTTCAGGCAGCCATGATGGCAGTGGGTCAACCGAGAGCTTCCTTTCATTCCAGTGCAAAGCTCCTTCACTGCAGCTCCTGCGCCATTCAGCACAGGGTCTCCACAAAGGAGGCGTCGACCGAGTGCTAGATCACGCCAAATTCGAAGGTGGGGTTTGCCACTAAGCCACTAAGACAACAGGAGTCATCTAATAACCAGTGGCCTTAAAAGGCATCCTTGTTTCTTTATTAGCCCTATACAATTTCTTGCATTAGGAATTCGTCTTTTCGCATACCCCAGCTTTTCTCCATGGAGACACAGACAGGGAGTGAAGCTTGGGGTCAGAGCGCAGGGTCAGCCATTGTACGGCGCCCCTGGAGCAGTTAGGGTTAAGGGCCTTGCTCAGGGGCCCAATGGAGTAGGATTCTTCTGCCGGCCGTGGGATTTGAACCGGCAACCTTCCAATTACAGGCACAGATCCTTAGCCACAGAGCCACCACTCCGCCTTTGCCACAGAGCCACCACTTTTTTCCTGTAGGTAAAATTCAAAACATTCTCATAAGCTGTTCTAAGCCAAAACTTTCTCACGTTCTTTACCTTCATCGGTAGGGTTAAACCCACAGATGTCACATATGCTTCTGACCCACTTATTCATCTCCTCCTCTGTGTCCGCTACCAAGTAGAAGACCCGGTCAATGGTCTTAATGTCAAAAATGAAGCTGTGCTCAAGGTCCTTCTTGTTGAACGTCAGTCCAGCATCCACTTGCTCGCAGAGATTCAGGTCAATGACGCGGATGGGTTTCTTGGCGTGGTCATTTTTGTAGTACTCCAACACATCCGGGTCCCCAGTGAGACGCCCACTGCGCAGAACAAACCACCTTTTCTTCCATGCCTGAGGAACAGACCAAAACACTTGATTAGAAACCAATGGATTCAAAGGAAAACTCTTCACGCTCCTACTTCAAGAACATTAAAATGGCCCAAGATTCTGAACAAATAACCTTTCTGCCCAAGAAAGACCTTAATGTTGAGGTTATGACAGCACCAGAGCCATTGAAAAGCACTGATGGCCAAAAACAGATGTACAGTTTTATTAACAGTATAAGTTTCTATCACAACAACCAAGAAGGGGAAAAAAAACTGTACTCAAAAGAAGAGATATTCACGGCAATATTTCAAATGACATTCACTGCAGACAAAGAGTGTGGGATGAGAAAACAGTGGAGAAATCTTACAATCACATAACGTACTTTGTTGAAGGCAAAATAACTACTGCGATGGGCAATGCTGTTATCTCATCTTGCTTCAAAATACACTTAAAGAGATTACTCATAATTCCGAATAATGAACCTGACACTTCCTCAGGCTTCAGTACTTCAGGAAATATAATAGCCAACAGTCTTAACCTAGATTACAGTGAGTTCTTTCCCCATTGGATCAGACTCAAATGTATTGGTTTCACCTTGTTGAAGCTACAGTTAATGGCCAGGCGCTAACGGTGTGGACTGTGCTTTATCTGTGTGGTTGCTTGGAGCTTTTCCAAATTATATTCTCTTTAATATCAACAGACTAGGTAGTTACTCATTGTTTCTGCTGGAATGTAGCCATCCATAGCTTTCTAATTAGTAGTGCACCTGATAGGTTCAGTGGAAAAAAAAATCTCAGTAAAGCAGTGTTTTAAAGGACAGTACAGGGAAATGCACAGCCCTGTACCCTGTGGGTGACCTCACAGATTCTGAGGACTGACAGGGCAGCCAGTATATACTGTAGAAAGGTACACTCTTTAGTCAGACTTCAGTGATCTCTAATAAAGGAGATCTTTTTAAAAGTAAGTTTGGACAAACATTACAGAAACATTGGTATGGTCTTTTTCCCCCCCGAACAACAGTAAAGGTAAATGTAAAAGAATGTTGTAGTGCCATTTCAATCATATCCAATGCAAGCAACACACCTTTGCTTTGAAATTAAAAATTAATACCAACACTAGCTAATGACCACTCAAGGAAAAACACTGGAATTTAAGGAATGTGATTTGAACCATTGTTTTTTATTAGAAAATTTTAGCCGGCTTAACAATGTGATTCTTTTTTCTTTGCTGTTTTTCCAACTACAGGGCCTCTTTGTTAGGAAGCCAAGATTAGCTCAGAGAGCATCACCCCATCCCGTCAACAAACAAGAGAGCTGAACCAACAGAAATAAACATCCACAGGAATGGCTCTCCGCTGCCAATCAAAACATGCCTGATCTGCAGGCACAGAGCACCACCGTATCAGCCCCTACACTCCTGACAGGGACTGCAACTCATGTCATAGAACTTCTTCCAATATCAGCATTCTGTATGCAGCGAGACTCTCTCGCAATATTGCCTTTGGTACAGCACACCCTGCCAGTCTCCCTGATCTACGAACCAGACTCCTGAAGCTCAAATCTTTCACTTCACGCAGGAGCTAAAACAGCAGGTATTCCAGCTGTTTCCGGGGAATTTAAATCGCAACGTTTGTTTCTGTAGATTAAAACAAAAACAGCAAGAAGTACCGACGTTTATAATAATAATAATCATAATAATAATAATCATAATAGCTTACACTTATATAGCACTTTTCTAGACACTCCACTCAAAGCACTTTACAGGTAATGGGGACTCCCCTCCACCACCACCAATGCGCAGCCCCACCTGGATGATGCGACGGCAGCCTTAGTGCTCCAGAACGCTCACCACACATCAGCTATTAGTGGGGAGGAGAGCAGAGTAATGAAGCCAATTCATAGATGGGGATTATTAGAAGGCCATGAGTGGTAAGGGCCAATGGTAAATTTGGCCAGGACACCGGGGTTACACCCCTACTCTTTTCGAGAAATGCCCTGGGATTTTTAATGACCACAGAGAGTCAGGACCTCTGTTTTATGTCTCATATGAAGGACGGCACCTGTTTACAGTATAGTGTCCCCATCGCTATACTGGGGCATTAGGACCCACATGGACCGCAGGGTGAGCGCTCCCCTGCTGGCCCCACTAACACCTCTTCCAGCAGCAACCTTTTTCCCAGGTCTCCCATCCAGGTACTGACCAGGCTCACACCTGCTTAGCTTCAGTGGGCTGCCAGTTGTGAGTTGCAGGGTGATATGGCTGCTGGCTGATATGGCTGTTCACTACATTTAAACCACAAATGATGCCTTCTCAGATTTACTTTCAAAATGAGACGTTGTGCATCTGATGTTCAAGGCACACACACCAAAAAAAAGCCAGCCACAGAAAAGCAATCCTAATGGTGTCAACACAATCTGCTGGGCTGCACCTTGCCACTGCATAACGAATGACCTCTGAGGACATGAATAAGGATTTCCTTGTGCCTCCTGTGAAATGATACACCGGGGCACTGATCCAGTACCTGACAAAGCACTTTAGATTTCCTTGGGGATGAGCAGCTTGGGGGTATTACTGGCTCTCCCTTTACTAAAGTGTTAATGGATCGAGCTGCTCTGAACAGCTGCTTGCATGAAGCCTAGCAAGGAAGAGGAGTTCACACACAGTTTAGAATTCAGGGACTCCAGGGGGACCAGGAGACAGAACACCCATCCTGCAGGATGGAACTAAGAGCAACAGGATCAGTTCTGTAAATCAGCCACAGGGCTGCGGACTGCATTGTACCTGCTCTGGAAAAAAAAAATAAAACGCTTCCTTTCAACAGCCAGTTACAGCTAGAAAAAAAAGTTACTTCAAAAGTGATCGGGAGCTTTGTTTCTTTACAGAGGACATAAAACAGGCTCGGCAAAAGCTTTTCTTTTCAATATTCACAGGAAAACATGCAGTCTGTGGGCACGTAGATTTGGATAATCGGATCCAAGTCTTGTCAGGAATAACACTGCTGAGACAAATACCGGAATGATCAAACAAACATAATTTTGCATGGATTTCAAAGCAGAAACAAAACGCCTGCCTGCCAGACGTGCATCATTTAAAGACAAATTTGCACGCAAGGCTTTTCAAACAACTTACTGTAAATCTAAAAATATAAGTGCTATCACCTGCTATTCTGTTGAAGCTGGTGTCTTTCAGATGTACACAAGGAAGAAGTCAAATTCATAAAGACACCTTAAGTATTTGAGTACAGTGCTTGCTACCAAGCCAAATCATAAATATTTCTCTGCACAGAGGCTTTATGGTATCTCAAAGCAAAAGCAAGGAGATACAGTAAAGAAACAAGGAGAATTAACACTGAAACTTGAAAGGAATATAATCAGTTACCAGCAAAATACTAAGCATAAGCAGGTTGACAGTGTTTATATATTTAACAATCTAAAAAATTAAAGACAGTAAATGCATTGTGCAGTTTATTGTTTCACATACTGCACAACAAGCTACAACAAGGTGATCGAGGAAGCAAAAAGAAAAATGCAACGTAATGTCTGGAGCGTCTCTAATTACTCTTGTGCTGTGATAGAGCGAGGTAAAGCAGTCCTCGCTTGTAAGAGATCTTTGACAGACTTGTGTCAAAACAAAGGGAACCAGAATCCTTCAGCTGCAACAAAGTTGAGGCATTAAAAGACACCACATCTTCACGTCAGTGTTGCATTCACAGTGTTTTTTTCCTCAAACAAAGTTTTACTTTAACTGCCACAACAGCTGACCTGTACTTTAATGGTACAGAATAAGCTGTAAGCTATTTCCGGATAAAGATAATAAACAGAGCTGCATGCTGGGTAAGTACAGGACAACATGACATTTTCAGTTTAGCTGGAATTCAGAGGTGTGGCTAGACTCTAGCGACTTGGCCTTGAAAGTCCTGCCATCACACACTGCTGACCGTAGACAGAATCGCACATGCAAGATCAGTAACTGACACTGCACTCTGTCAAGCACAAATCTGTACCGATTTTTAATTTTGGTTAAAAAAGAAGGATATTTTTATATGCTTTTGTGCCAATAAAATATGTTTAGATATTGTCAGCTGCTGCCTTCCCCGTTCAAAAATGTAAGAATTCAGCAACACAACAGCAAATGAAAGCAACAGTAGAGGGAAAAGGTCTCAGGATAATAAAAGAAAACTTCTAGATGAAGAAAGTGAAATGACAAGTTGATTAAGTGAATGGTTCATTTAGGTGTTGATCGTGATAGAAATCCAACAACATGACACAGACTTAGCTTAGAAAAGGCAGTAGTATTACATGAATTATATTTTAAATGCCTCTATCTTCAGGTCATATGATGGTATACAATTACAAGAAGTAATTGTATTTAAGAAAACAATTTTATTCAATTCGTAGGCTGTTAACTTTTGCAAGAGTCACTCAAAATGGGAATAGTATCCATTGACTGGAACTTTCTAATGTAGTGCTCATACAGAGAAAGGAGACAAAACCAAACCAATTATAGACATCTAAGCCAAATGTTACAAGATTATGGAAACAATAATTAAAACTAGATCTCTTTATGTATTGAGACACGATTGAGAGAAGTGGCCCCTGTTCTTCCTAATTTATGTTAAATGACCTGGAATCTCTTATGATTATTAAAACTAGATGTTTACAGATTACAACAAAACAGGAGAAATATTAAATAGTGTAGAAGCTGCAAAGGAAACTAAAAAAAAAAAAGACTTCAAGACAGGTCAGAAATGCAAGATAACTTAATGTAAACAATTCAAGTGTATCAACACGTATAAGGAGCAAAAATAATCTAAATACAAAATGGGAAATGCCAAAGCTTGAAGTGGCTTCTTGTGAAGACTTGTGTAGCTAAGAAAAATACACCTTCTTGATAATATGGAGGAAGCAAATAAATGTCAAGTTAAAAACACAGAATGTAAATCAATTGATGTTATACGAGTACTGTAGGTAGCTGCATCAGCGTGCAAAGGAATGAGTAAAGGTTCACTCCATGCTGAAAGGTAG